TCGCTAATACATTCCGGAAGATTGGACCTTCTATTTATTTGCCCCTTTATTTTGTTTACGAGCACTTTTAACTTATCCCATACTACCTTTGTCAGCGACTTCGTCCGCGAGAATCGTTATTTGGACATCCAATTTCTCCTTTATAAACTCAAGCTGTTACTCACGACGTCGGTCGCGTCCCTACCTATCGTTCTTGTAAGTTAATCTTAAAAGCGTCGCGAACTTTTTTTAGATAATTTAAAGAGGAATCATTCTCTCATAAATATTTTTTGGGTATCTTGAACTGATTTCGCAATGTACGCTTCGGAAACCCATAATGATGAATGACCCATAATGATAATTTTCCCAATTTTTGGCACATTTCTCGCTGTATCTTCGCTTCTATTAGTACAGGACGATATTTTATAGCATATAGCCTTCGTCGATAAATGTTCTAACCGACACAAACATATTTAGAATTTTTCAATTCGAATCCGTTGGAACTGAGATTAGCGCGTTCAACAAACATCAAACAAACTCTTCAGCTTTATATATTAGTATAGACTAAGTCTACGGTTCAACCGTTATTAGTCAATTATTAGACGTTGAAAAGTTTGTTCACAAAATAATGTTTAACAAAAAACTAAAAAGAAAATATGAATTTACTACGCACATTGTAATAAGTATTTTGATTTATATATTTATAGCAGACTAATACCGTGATGTGTGACTATCATTTAAAAGTATAACCGACTTACTTAGTTTTGAAGTCGGCAGTCTAAATGATTGTCATAACCCATTTAGGCGTAAAGCCACCTTTTCACCCATTAAAACAACCATAAAAACGATCTCAGCTCAAATACAAGATAGCTGCTGTGAATCGTTAAAGAGTTGTCTGTCTCCCGGGTCCATCATCAAATCTACTCAAATCTTTAATAAATTATAGTGCTTTATAATGCTGAATAAATAAACGCACTATACGATTTTCAGCGGTAATACGATCTGTGGTCATCGCATACTGATTTCAAATAGGATAAATTTGGCAGCATCTACTTTCCAAGAAATTAGAATCATCGAAATATTTAAATAAAACACTTTAACGGTTTAAAACGCGATATATTAGTTAACAGTTAATATATCGCGTTTTAAACCGTTAAAGTGTTTTATTTAAATGTGTACTACTCGCGTAAACTATAGACAGTATCGTCGAAATAGGTTAACACGGCGAAGTTATGCGCGAACAAACAAAATTGAATATGAATCGAATTAGGAACCTACTTTTTTTGAAGTCGGTTAAAAATAGCTGTAATCGTAATATAAGCTAGCATTTAATAAAATATAAATGCTAGCTTATATTACAATGTTAGTTCCACAGATAACACAATATAAAATGTTAGTTCCACAGATAACACAGATAATATATTATAAAAGAGGTTTTATTATTACTTTGATGTGTTTTGTAAATCGTACTCTGCCCTCTGTGCACTTTGGCAGTTATTAATCAATTTCAGACAATTGTGTTAATTACCATCAACTTGATATATCATACCTGCCTGCGAACATACATCTAATTGGATTAACGACTACTATGCTTTGAAAACTAGAGTTATTTCGAAGGAAAATAATGTCTACATACTTATTACAGATTTGATTAATTTATATTTTAAAATTATTCTATCAACCTCGTTTCGTGGGCAATACATTTTCGAGCTTCATTAAAATAAATTGGCATTCTGAACTGTGAGAAATTTTCCACCACAATAGATTGATTCGCTGATTTAATAAATAACGTAATAATCACGTGAATAACATAACGCAGCCTTAAAACATAATGGATATGAGATGAATTGATGATAAAAATCAAATATATATAATAGTTAAACCGGGGATTAGATATACTGTATTGTACAAAATAACGATAACCTTGTATAACTTGTTATGCTAAAAGATCATATCACCATCCGAATATAAATTGGTTTATTCAAAATTCATCTGAAGCTTAGGTAAGGAGAATCTTTTTCATGCCAGCTTTACGGGGATTGATAGATACAGGAATTAATACGAATATTTGTAATAATCCGAGTGAGTGAGATAATCAGTGAGTGTGAAAGAGAACCATTATGTAGAAATATATTTTCACAAATTCTTTAAATTAAATTAAAATTAGTTTAGTAAAATTTTACACTAAATATGACTTAGGTGCGTAGGTATAATAAGTACATACTACTGTGTTTTTATAATGGTATCTTTAATAAACGATGATATTTTGAGATGTTTACTGACGTAGTCGTATCTATTTAGAGCCAAGAAAGCCTTACAACGCATTTAACAAGGATTAAAAGAAAAACAGAACTTATTGACACGAGTTGCATTTGATATCCTATAGACTTTCCTTTCTAATTATGTAAGGGGTAAACGAAATCGTACTCTTAACAGTTTTAATTGTGAAACGCAGCACGAGATTTAATAATTTATTTAAATGATGTAGTCGTATCGAACGGTGGCTCACGTCTATATAAGACCGGTTCACACATAGATACACACAACACACTCAACGTTATTGCTACACTGACGAACCTGCTGAGGACTTGGTCTTGGTAATATGTTGAGATAAAGCTCTTTTCAATTGGAATTCGAAGGGGAAAGGGCCTGGACTTTGATGGAGGCTTAAAAGGAGTTTGACGAAATCCAAAATCATTCTGGCATGGTTTCTTCTAGAAAGATTCTTATTAGGAACACTAACATTTGCAGTGTAGTTGTAAAGCGATATAAATTCTTCAACCATTTATCAAGTCATAACGCTCTATAAGAATAAGAATTCTTATATACAACATACGTTTTCCATTATATGTTATACTGGGTACAGTAAATACTGGGATAATATAAGACCAAATTGGGCGAGGCCTCGAGTCTATCAGACCGTAAATAATAACGAGACTTAGTTTCATGCGCTGATGGTCACCAATCCAAATTTTTCTTCTTTGTAGTAGGTATTAGTGCATTTGTTATGGCAGCCCAATGCAATTCTTTGGACACACAGTCTCTTCTTAATATAACTCATCTCCTTATCAGTCCTTTTCATAAACTTTTGAACTACTTAAAGCTTGAGAATGAACGTTCCAAAGCATAATGAAATGATTGGTATAAAGTTAAAATGTTAATCTGGTTCAAAACCTTTATGGGCCATCCATAGGTGCCTATACGCAAAGAGGATTTCATTAATCAATTAATTTAGCAATCAATGCATACTTTACCTATTTAAGATGAACGTATGAACAAGTTAAAGTGTACAATAACTTAATGCTCTTTTAAAATAAAGCTACAAGAGACTAGAACATTCTAAATTTCGTCAACAGTATCGTGAATTATAGATAATGAGTTTGTTTTCCCCCGCGGTAGCTTATTTTATCGAAGCACGATTTTCACAAGACATTAATTGAAATGCAAAAACGAGCAATAAAACGTAGAACAGGCTTTAACGTATCGACGTAAGCTTATGCTCACTGTGCCTAATACTGGGGCACAGTATTCGGTATAGCATAATATAGATATTTTATCCACGATATAAATGTGTACTAGATTTCTATGCAATAAGGATATTGTTTGTTTTTGCCACTGCATACTCCTATTGAGAGCTATAGATACGTATACCGTGGAGTATGGTAATACAAGCCTTGTCATTAATATCTAATTGGCATCTGCGTATTAGAGATAAACGAGTTAAATCCAATTCAAACGGGTTCTAGCTAAGAGGAAATGATAAAGATCATTGCAGTTCTGCAAGTGAGGCTATCGAGCGGGTGCAACGCACTCTCTCCGTCCTAGGTGGATCGAATAGGGAGTGTAAAAAACGTACGTGGATCATCGCACGTCGTGCAGGAGTTGAGCGCGCTGGGGCGGCGACTCCGGCGCGCTGAGCACACCAGGTGAAACACGGGCGCAGATCGAAAGTTCGACGCGAGATCGAGCGCGCATATGTAAATATCGGCACATTTACAAGCGAAAGGGTTCACCAGAGCGGCGCACTAACGCAGCATTGCGCGGGAACCAGTCCGGTGAGATTCCTTCGATGTCCGATAGAAAAATGTCGAATGAGCTTCGAGCCCATCACGAGACGCGAATGTCTGGCGCGGAACGCGGTCGCCACTCGACTGTCGCCCTCCTCTTGCGGACACTCTGTTGGTATATTTATCGCTTAATTATTAAACTCGTCTGTGTAACAATTATGAAGCTCGGCCAGTGGAAGGCGCAGCACTCGCGTAGGGCATGCGGCGCTACCGCGTCTGCGCTCAACTGTTGCGTCACGCGCGCTGCCATCGTACGCGCAGCCTTCAGATTTTATCGCAGCCGATTCAATTCTCACCTATCATTATTTACTATTTATCTCAAAACATTAACCTCCAAATAAACATAACGCTCAGACGTCTTCCTATGTTTTATTTCCGTAATAAAGTACACTTTACGTTTTTTTGTGATCGGATTTACTTGGTTTAACTATCATCCAAAATGAAATAATCGATTAGCTTTCTAGATTTCTATATTAGATTGTTCCAAGGTTCCAACAAGAAAGAAAAATATAAGATTAGGTGACCGTAGGTGTTTTCTTATAGTCGCGCGTGTGTACTTCGCAGAATAGATATTTTTAAATACACCTTTTTTAACTGATTCGCTAAATCTTACCTAAATAAGTTCTACATGGTAATATTGAGTGTTCATACACATATTTTAAATTTATAAGAATACTTGATGTAGAAATATTGGTCTTTTACCTACAATATGATAAAAATACCCTCAGAGTATATTTTTTAAAACCATAGAGCATAACTAAATAAAAATATCGTATTGTAATGTCACTGTCAACTATATAAAGAGTCAATTGTCAAATATTAGTTTGTCTCAGCTTTCGAATTAAACAATGCACAAATACATAATAAAAACGATGTTTTTAAGAAAAACATAGTGCGCAATTTAACTTAAGTGTAAATAAAAATAATAGGAAAGCCGATACTGATTTACATAAGATGTTTTGCCGACTACGCATAAGGTAAGCTATAGAAACAGGTTTAAAAATAATAATTCTAGTAAATAAATGTCTTGTTGAGCGCATCTTATGTTATATAGTTGCAGTTGCCCGAGAAGGGTATTTCACAGAAGTTTAAGTTCTGCAGAAGTGTCAACTGCATTGCGGCCTTTTTATTTTCATGTCCATCCTGATTTATTTGGAAAATATCCTGAACAAAGGGTATGCAATGATTTATATTATATTTACTGAATTTAGTAAACTTGTTACATTTTAATTTATTTTTTAGAAAATTAACGAAATCTCCTTACAACAACTCAGTGCCCTATTAGAAGCTCAACAATCTAGTCGAAATATACATATACCTGTTTTGCCTTTTTATTTGAGGAAGAAAGACATGCCAGAAGGTAATTCTAACCTTATTTAATGTTATATTATGTAATAACTATTCAATTTTTATGGTAAAAACAAAATGACAAATTTAATATATGTATATGTAGGGTATTATATAATTTCAGGACAATTTGAACTAGTAAAAATAAAATTAGATAGCAAAAATATAAGAGAAACTGTTGTAAAAATTTTAAGTGCCTGTGATATTTCTACGAGCTATATTGACAAAATTCCAATAATTCAGAGAGATAGGAAAAAGCAATTCCGGTAAGCCAATTTGTACTTATTCATTTTATTAGCAGATTGGCATTTATAAACATATGTTTTTTTAGTGAAGATTTTGACAAAGCCTATGAAAAATATAAGGATGAATTTGATAAAGCAACTCAAATGAAAAGAAAAGTTGAGGAGAAGAAAGCTATATCAAATATAATGTAAGTAACACTTCTTTAATTACTTTTGAAGAATTATAAGTTTTCTATTGATTATTGTATATTTACTTAAATAACGTTTGTTTTATATCACTCATAATAAATTCTTTACAGTGATTGGATTTCTGAGAATAGTGGAGTTGCTAAAGAAAAATATGAATCTACCCATGCCACACGAGACCATGTAAAATCACTTATCGAGCAATTGTGCAAAACATATGGTATAAAAGAAGTTGGTAAAGTTATTGAATTTTTAACATTATTATACCAAACTTTTATATTTTTCAACTCTGTTGATATAATCAGGCAGTTAAGCTGTAAATTCTATGACAGGTCAAGTATGACAGTGGTTGGAACATAAGTCACATTAGAGGAGCACTGCAGAGCCTTACGTCAATGGCATCGCAACATCCCCAACATATGGGGAATTTAAAAGGTTAGTATTGATTTTAAAGATTAGTCTATTTTTATACTACAAATGTGGTGGTTTCAACGGAATTATGTTGGCCAACCACCTATTAAATTCTGGGATGCAAATAATACCAAAACCACATGTAAATTGTACTGATAATTGTAATGTTTAAAATACCTTGCTTTGATGTTAACTGGCTAGTTTAAATAAATGAACAAAGTTAACTAATACATGTATTATAACATTTAATATTTATTTAATTAAAATGTATATGTTTTATAAAAATACAACACTTTAATATTTTCAGATAGAACTATAGCATTAGGGCAGTTTACTGGTGTAAGCTTAGATGGTGATGTTTTTCTAAATATAATTGATGTAAGAAATGAATGGCTATCGGTGAGTAGTAGAAAAAACAAATTTATTTTTATGACTAGGAATTATTGTGCTTATGCCGGTATAATTTTTTCAAACAGCTGATTAAGAAAGTGAGCCAGGAAGATTCTGCTTTAACACAAATACCCCAGTATGAAAAAGCATTGTCGAGTATACTAAGGGACATTCATATTTGCAGAAGGTAATACCCATCCAAAATACGTTACCAATTAACTGAAGGATGCAAGTTAAGGAACCTTATATTATTTTTCTTTTACAGAAAGTTTATGCCAAAAGTATCAGCAGCACAGTACTGCAGTCATCTTAGACAATTGATCACATCTATTGGCGATTTCTACGGTCGCGGTCGTAAGATCCCTGATTCGGTACCCGAGTCACTGGAAAAGTTTGAGATTGTCGTTGAACCGTAAGTACAAATTGTTATCTAGACGGAGTCTCAGACTACGTGACGTCAAATTATTGTTTTTCAATAAATTGCAAAAAATATGATGTCACACCCAGAAAAGGGAAGTCCCACAGATGTGACGACCTGCAGCAAGGGCGTGGTGGTAATTAGTAAATTAATGAAAAGCTTTTTTCAGAGAGGCTGGTCCGTTAATGGTTTCACCAACAGGTCAGTTTATTACTCCATCTTCGTGTCCAGCTGATGAATTAATTGCATTTATTACAAATAACCTTGATGGTGCAATGTTATTATTAACTGAATACAGCATGTAAGTTACTTACAATTAATAATCTAGTGTGTATTAAATTATAATATTTGTGCCTTATATACATATTATTATTTTAGCAACAAACATGTAGAGAGGGCATTATATAAAGAGGTAAAAGAGAGATTCCAGCTTTTAGACCTTATTAAAGATGACAGCATAACACCTGCCTTGATGATTCTGTGCTGTCAAAGACTTCTCACTAGAATTGACAAAATTGATGAGGTAAGTCAAAACTGATATTGCTAGACAGCTTTCAAAATATATTGAACTGACATATTATATCCTATATAATTAAATTATATTGTTTCAGAAATTACGCGGTAACATATTATATGTAACACATTACTACTCAGTGTTGTCAGAGGGCGTTTTATGTATTCCATGGGATTTTAAGGGATAAATAAATTGTTGAATAGTACGCAATTATGAATTTTAATAATGTTAGTAATATTAATAATGTGTACAGAAAATACCATATCTAGTCGCTAATCAAATCCTTATTTACATATATAAAGGGATAAGTTTGATTCTAGTAAGTATACCAAGTGATGTAAAGTTGAAAATTGTAGCTTTGAGATCGTTGTTTACATATAATACGTTGAATTTAAAGTATTTCTTAATTACAATTTGCAGTCTTCCAAATAAAATGTTACATTTTGTAAATTTAAATAATGAGTATTGATTATTAAAATATATACTGAGCTGTACATTCAGTGTTTTTTATTTTGTTGGACAATGACGAGTTTGTTCTTTTCCTTTGTGACTTTTGCTGCGGGTAAGTGTGTAGCTGGCATTAATTGGCGCAAATATTGACTTGGTATCACTGGGACCTGTTAAAAAATAAGGTTTTTAATATCACACAATAAGCTACTGTTGTAACTTGATGGCATTTAATAAGAAAATACTTATTCCTTCCAAAAATAATTTCCTCTCAACTTACCGGAGGATATCTGGCAAACTGTCTCATCCTATCCACTAATCGCATAGCATCATCTGATGTTTCAGAGTCGGTAGTCATCCCCAACGATAGTGCTCTATCCATATTTACACCATCTAGACATCTAATAAAAAATAAAGGCATTGTTAAATTAAAAAAGTTTACTCATAATTAAATATCCACGTAACTCAGTATATGATCTTATTTTGTAGTTTCTATACTTGTATTTATTTAAAATATATATTTAGACTATCTGGATCAGCGTCTTCGTCCGCGTAGAATAGTTGTTTAGGGCATCCAAATTTGTTTTTGCAAACCTCTACATCTTTATAAATTTAAGCTGCCCATGACATCGGTTGCGTCCCGCGCGGCGTTTATATATTAGTATAGATAGAAGAAATTACATAGGTTAAAAGGATTTCGACGTTGACATGGAACATGGAACGCTTAAATGTATATATTGACATTTGGAAAATAAAAATGTTATCAAACTTGTATCAATTAAATTCATAATTTTCTCCTTTCTTTTTTCAACTCACAAAAAAAAATGCAATACAATGACTTGAAAAATGATATTGATACCTATTTGGTGCTGGACGAGACCTCTGAGCGTGTCTCCAAGCTGCAGCCGCCCGCGCACGCCATATAGCTGCCTCATCAGCGGCCGCTGCCGCGCTAGCCTCTAGCGCTGCACAAGCACTTCGTAGATCCACCACCTTTGCAAGAAATGACAGGTTTCTATTATTCATAGATCTATTATATACCAACTAAACTTATTGCAGATATACAGTACATACATATTTTCTCATTGTATGCAAGGATAAATAAGCTACGATGCCTTTCGTGAATTAGAAAAATACCTTTTGAAAGTATCTATACAGGAGAGTTTTCATCTCATCATGTGATAATTTATCCAATCTCGCCATTAACATCTGCTCTCCTCTGGTCCTACTGTCCTTGTTATCGTGTGAGTCAGAGAGTGAAGCAGATGGCGAACGTCCACATATTAAATTGTTTTTGTACTCTATTGCTGTGTCTATAGCTTCTATGGCTTCTTCACATTCTAGTATTTTTCGTTCCTGAAATTAGCATTACAGATTGGTATTTTTTCATTATATTTAAAGCTAAAGATGTGATATTGGGGAAACTCATTCATTTCGTAAAACTTACCTCTGAATCTGAAAGAGATTTGTACAATTTTCTTTTATGTCCTAAACTACATCGCTGCTCGTGTAAGCACTCTCGCGTCTTACGTAAATTTTTAATCTCTTTTCTCAATAAAAGCTCTTTATCTCTTGATAATTCTAGATTGGCTAAATCATTTGCTTTCTCTTTTAAAATACTATCTAATTGTGTAATTCTATTTGTAAAATGCTTTATTGAATGTACTTTTTTATCTTTAATCTCAACTGATGTTTCAGACAGTTCATCTAACTTTAATTTATCCTTGAGTAGTTCAACATCTAGAGTATTTTTTCGCTTTTCATCCTTTTTAATTTGACGTTTTATTTGATCTATTTGCTTTTTGTAGGTCTTAAGATTTGTCTCATGTCGTTTTATCTCCTTTATTGCGTCTAAATCAATAATGTTTGATTCTGTCCTGTCTGAGTGTGTTTTATTTCTTGTATTATTAGAAATGCTTCGGTTCAGGTCATCTATGACTCTTTTCTTAGAGATGCAAAGATTGATCAATTCTTTCAGCTGTGACTGACTTGTACTTATCTCTTTCGACAATTTCCTAGCTAAAATCTGTTTCTGTCCATATTTTTCCTTGGTAATTTTATATTTCCTACAGATTTCTGTCATTTTTGGAGAGTCAATCATTTTTAATAATTCCCTCTCAATTAATTTGGGTTCTGGGTCTGTTTCATTTTTGTGAGATTCAATAATAATTTTTTGAGATTCAGGAGAGATAGCTTTTTCAGCTACTTTTCTTAGAAGTTCTAACTGTGCTCCAGATATACTTTCCCCTGGTTGAATTGTTCTTCTTCTTCCAGAAATAGATTGTGAAGTAAGAATAGGTAAAGATTGTGAGCCACTTGTATCAGATATAGTGATATCGTCTGAGTCTATATGGTTTAAATAATCTTCACATCTCTCTGCAAATAACTGATCATTTTTCTCCCTAAAGTATTCCATCATCTTTTCAACTTTGTCTTGAAATACAGTTTCGGAATCACTATCTTCAGAATCTGATTCGACATCGGACTCACTAGGTTCACTAGGTTCTGTATCTTCAGCTATTCTTGGTAAGCCTTGTTTATGATTTGATTCTCTGTTATCAACAACTATTTCATTATTCAAGCATTCGTCACATTCTGCTTTGAGAAACAGCCATTCACTAACCTGGTTCATATCTGCATCAGACAATGATTTAGATTGCAATATTTTGTTAAACAACCCTTCTGCATTTGACACTAATTTTATCCATTGGGTTGTAGCAAACTGCAAATTAAAGGCATTATCGGATGGTATTGCATTTTTTTCAGAATAAACTGGTGTGTTATTATCAGCAAATAAGTTAACTGTGACAAAATTCTTAATTCCCCGACAACAAAGGCATAAATTCAGAATCTTAAGAGTATCTTGGTATTCTTCTGGTTCTGTACTTATACAACCAATAACCCAAGTGAAGGCTCTCCCTCCAAATGAATCTCGTAGCATAGCAGTTAATATACACCTATCGTAATTTATTTGTTTTGGCGGGTTGCCAGCTACTAATTCCTTGATTATGTTCTCCAAAGCAAAAAGTCCTGGTTCTGGATAAGCTGCCAGTTCACAAAAACTAGCAGTAGACATACGATGATTAAGGACACCATTAGTTCCAACCCACTTTTGTTCCATACTCACAGTAAATACTGTATGATTGTTACCAAGGCACCTCTGTCTCCAACCTAATTGCAAATATTGGAATGCTTCTTCAATATTACAACACCTGACCAACCCACCTCCCAGGACATCAAATATATTATTGTTAATAACTTGCATCCAAGTTATATGAAGTATGAACTCCCTCTCAGGCATCTGGCTTAGTTTGTGGAATATTTCAGTCAAAAATCTGGGAACAATGCCTTGATCACATTCACTATGGATACATTCGAAGCCTGAAAAATTAATAAACAATGTAATGAGAAATTAATAAGGAGGTTCAGATTGTAAATACTTTTTGGTAATTTCTACAAACCTGGGCCAAACAGTGTATATGTTTTCCCTGTTTTTGACTGCCCAAATGCTACAACTGATGTATCACATCCATCGAGAAAGCAGTTGATTTGTGGTAACATAAATGAATTGAACAAATGAGCTTGATTGCAATCTACTGGCAAGGCTCTGTTTACATGAAACGTTTGACCACTCTCTGTGATAACAATTTGAGTTACGGGATTACTAAATATGCACTGAAGGGAATCTGTTATTCCAGGGGGTTTTAGACGAATAGCTATTTGCACTGGTATATCCATTTTATGAACCGAATATTATCATATAAATGTAACTTTCAAAATCTTCAAGCACTAACTCTTAGCATAGCACCCACTTTATGCATTAAATTAAGTGTACATAACTTATGCAACTAAAGTACTCCATTAAAACATTAAATACGATGCATTACAAAAATAATTCTATCCTTGCTCTTATTTCCAAACAATTCTTTTTTTTTACAATATGCAGACTGCCATATCTTTCACAGATATCATAAAGTTTAAATAGACTATGTATGTTATAGGTAGACAAAAAAGTAGGTATACAACAAATTATATTAATATATTGAAGTACCTTTTTAAATTGAATAAATAAAATGTTTGTTTTATGTACAATAGTTATTTGTTATAAGAAACAAAAAATATCCAAATGAATTAAACACTCTGTATTGTATGGTAATGTCATGAACAGTGACAGCTTAGACAGTGACAGATGTCACGATAAATTGCGTCCTACGTCATACGTCAAGTGTAATTTCAACTTTTAGCCTTTTCCGGCTCTCTGTGGCACTGAAAGTAAGCAACAGAAATGTTTCCTAAAATAAATCTATTAAAATCTTACTGATTCCAATATATTTACCTATTTTACGTTGCATTGTGATCAGGAACAATATTTTGTGTTGATTCCCCTTCATATTTTTTGAGTTCTTAGTGTAAAAGTGAGAAAAACTTATCTTGGAATAAACATAGGTTATAGTATCTTTACAACCGTATTTTTATATTTTAGGCCTCAAGATGAAGCAAATAGTTGCTAATCAAAAAGTGAAAATCCCTGATGGACTCACAGTCCATGTAAAATCAAGGCTCGTAACAGTTAAGGGCCCACGGGGTGTGTTAAAACGAAACTTCAAACACTTGGCTGTAGACATTCGTATGGTTAACCCACGATTGTTGAAGGTGGAAAAATGGTTCGGCTCCAAAAAGGAACTAGCAGCAGTTAGAACTGTTTGCTCTCATGTCGAAAACATGATTAAAGGTAAGTTATGTGCATTGTTTTTAGTTTTTATGTTGTAAACATCCAAGTTTTGATTTAATATTAAACAGGTTCATGCATATTTACTCGTCCCCTGGTATCAATAGTTGAATTAACCTTTTTTTTAGTTTAATAATTTGGAAATATAATAATATATCCTTAAATGTTTTGGTTGGTTGTGTATTTTACATTAAATTTTTTTGTCTTACTAAGTATTATCCTGTACATTTTTCATAAATTCCAAAATTACATTAATAATGATGTCTTGAAGGTTTTGTGTATTGTATTTAAAGAGAGCATCCTTTTATTTTTATAGTTTGCTCTAAACAGCTTACCATCCTTTCAGGTGTAACTAAGGGTTTCCAATACAAAATGAGAGCTGTATATGCTCACTTCCCCATTAACTGTGTCACCACTGAAGGCAACTCAGTAATTGAAATCCGTAACTTCTTGGGTGAGAAATTCATCAGAAGGGTGAAGATGGCCCCTGGTGTTACAGTAGTCAACTCACCAAAACAGAAAGATGAGCTCATCATTGAAGGTAACTCCCTCGAGGATGTATCCAGTTCTGCTGCCCTAATTCAGCAATCCACCACAGTTAAAAATAAGGATATAAGAAAGTTCTTGGATGGTTTATATGTGTCCGAAAAAACAACTGTTGTACTGGATGAAATATAAGGAATATATATAATAGGCTGATTTATTTGGTTTTATTTCTGAAAATCAAATAGTTGTTTGATATAAGGTTAGTTAATAGCAAACCAAGTGATTTTCCTTCTCTTTTTGGAGCAGAAATATCTCTGGGCTACTTGATAGATTTTTATTAACAGTAAGTCGGACTTGGCACACAGACTATTAAACTACTATGTCTGCCAGCGACATCGTCCGCGAGAATCATTATTTTGGGCATCCAAATTAGTTTTTGCAAACCCCGTCATCTTTATAAACTTATGCTGTTAGCCACGACGTCGATCGCGTCCCTCCCCGTCGTTCTTGCAAGTTAATGTTAAAAGATAGACGTTTAGCGTCGCGGACTTTTTTTTAGATCATTTAAAGAGGAATCATTCTTTCATAGACATTTTTAAGTATCTTAAACTGTTTTCGCAGCATAATACACATCTGAAGCCCACAGAGATGAAAAAATATCCCCCCTTTTGTTCACATGTTCCGCTGCATCTTTGCTTCTATTATTTACAGCGCGATTTTATAACCTATAACCTTCCTCAATATTGCTCTAACTAAGAGAACTTTTCAATTTGAACTTGTAGTTCCTGCTTTCTCTCTCAGCTTTATATACTAGTATAGATTTGGTAATATTTGAAACACTTTTCAATTTTAGAAATGGACATACTCAATTAACAGTTACTCTTAATGAAGAATAATTTTATTTAGTTTAATTAATTGATTAGGTTCCTTGAAATTAAGGAACGGAAGCTAATGTACCCAATATAGACATGGTAGCTCATTTGATTAGATTTATAATAATGAGAAAATAATTATTATTTAAGTTTAATATAGGAGTTGCTTATAAGGCAAAACACATTTTAACGTAAATAACTTTATTCAAACTAATTCTATTGAACATCACTAACTGATAAACATTGTACATCTGCAAATATGGATTTTATAAAATGTTAAAATAGGTAATAACTATTTGTTAAAATATACTTACATTTTATTAATATACACAAATCAACACATTTTATTAATTTAATAAAATACCTACTTAGTACGACACAATAAATACCTAATGAAATAAAACATTCTCACAATAATTAAAAAAAAATTACATTGTTACATATTATAATATTACGAAATAAAATGATTACAATACTTGTAAACTTTCCGAATAATATAGTTATCAAATGAATTAAACATTATCTTGTCTTGGCTTATTAATTTTGATAGAAAACTTTCTAAAAGTTATGTCGTCAGACGAAAATGTAATTTAAAAAAGCTTTAAAATGATTCATACAAGACTGACAAAAATAATACAAATTAAGCTAATAGCTTATTTTCCCAAATTACATCTTTGGTTACATATGTATCTATGTAATGGCGAGGGTAAAAAAATAAGCCAGCGAAAATGTCATTAAAAAAACTGCTATAATACAACACGACGTACACAGTTAAAAATATTAAGTACAGGGGGAATAATCATTTGTATTTCACATTACATAATCATTGCACTTAAGAGTAAAAAATACTACTAAGTATTAAAAGATATCAATTCATAAAACCAGTTACAACGAAAGACAAAGACGTGGTCACATTTATTCCAGTAAATATAAATCCGGAATAAAAAAATATTTGTAGGCAGCGTAAGTAAAGTAATTTCGAGATGAGCCCCAGCCTTCCGCCGCTGTCGCTGTAAATAATACCTAACTACATCCGCGTTACACGCCATATTTGCAGATGGGCATATTTTTACTTCGTAAGAAAATAAAATTCTCAATAAATAAATGTCAAACGCTATTCTGGGTGAGACATTTCACACCGTATAACACAATTCCTTACTATAAAAATGATCAACAAATAACTTGCACCTCGCGGCTGTGGTCTCCTTTAAACGCCATAGGCTGCGTACACGCCATTTCCACGAACGACTTCTTAATAATCGTTATCGACGTTCACGTGCAGTATTGTACCGTTTTTTGCTTTCGTTTGAGTATACGTCGGCGTGTGAAAGAGACAACAGTACATTTCTCTAGTAACAAGCGACGTATAACGTGACGCTGTAAGCGGGTTACATAATTTATAGGAGACCGTAGCCTAATAGTAGTGAAGTAAGACCGGCTGCGGTGTGTCATGAGATTCAAATGGCTACGATGTTTGCCGCTTGAGCAAATAATTCTGAATGTAATTTCTCTTAGCCTAGCCATGCAGGACTCGCGTGAGGTGGGTTTTGACTAAAGTAGTAAGTTATAACTAAGTAGTTTGTCATTGTAACATCACCGTGTGCATCGTGATCGTCAATATTAAACTCTACTAACCGTGTATAGAGAACATTACGTCTAACGCTGAAGAAAATTCACATTTCACTCTAGCAATCCGATAACAAATTAACATGAATAATACCATTTATTTCTCTACAATATACAATTTTATTTTACATAGTCGAGATGAAGCTGAATACGTGACTTTGTTAATAAATACCTTTTAGTACAAAGCAATCATCATACTGTTACGGCTATATCAAACGACACGATGAACGAAAGCGTAAATACTCTACAGTGAAAGCGTTCATTATCGATTTCGAGTTGTGTTACGTAAAATTTAAATTTCAAAACCAACCTATAACTAGAATGTTAAAATGTAAGGACTGTAGAGACTAAATATAAAACCAAGTCACAATCTAATGTGAACCTCAATCGGTATTGCTTAGCCGTGTATACGATCGGTTCTCTGTCAACAATCTAAGAATTACCTAAATCGTGACACTAACTAAATATCTCGTGTACAAATCTTGAGGGACAAGTTATCGCGTCCGATATCGGAAGGTCACTTAGGGAGTCTAGACAAAAGATTTAAATGTGTCGTGGATATAATTCGAAGCGATAGAGAATAGAATTTACACCGCCAAATGGGACCCCAAGTCTGCTAATTCAATCGAGACTACGTTGCATTAATAATGACCTGGTCATTTGGGTTTTTTTGATGACAAGCCAGCTACTTGCTGTAAATAGTACTGGAAATCCTTTTTAACGGATTACATAAAAAAATGATAATCAAGTTGTATGTAACAGGGTGTACCAAGAGGGGTAAACACTAGGAACAACTCGTCTAGACTTCCTGTAATGTCTACTAACACTGATCGGGGCCACAGGAGATTCTATGAACATTATTGCTCATATAAGTATCACGAAATATGGAGTACTTAATACAATGGTAGGCACATTTCATCGACCGTACTTTAGGAATACAAGGGCAGGTTGAAGCGGTCTACGTCAAATAAGAACTACTTCTAAATTACAGGGATCATAACGGCTTCTTGAACAAAGCCTTCTGGACATTCGATCCGTATTTCACCTGTGAAGGTTCAATGTGTCCTTGTATTCTTCATAAGCTTACTGAGGACTAGAAAACACACTTAAAAATATTTATAGATTTGAACAGTCACTTTTGGGCCCATACCGATGGACAATACTTTTAAATACACGTCAGTCGTATTCAGGTACTTGAATGTTAAGTGTGGTTTCTCTCCTTAGTACATTATACGAAATCCAGTGCACTAGAAGGAATAATTTGTATTTCATTGCGGCATTCGGCCAATCAACGTCGTCTTAGCTTACAAGAATCAATAACACATTCACTAACAAAAACATACTAGGTGGCGCTAGTTGCAGCAAGCATTGAAGTTTGTATCTACTTGTAGATATAAAATCTGTCGGGTTCCATATACTTTATAGACTATATTTCACGTATAATAAAATAGTGCTATCTTTTTACTATTATAATAACGCAACTAACGCCACTCGTTTCATAATTTGAGCGTCATCTAGTGGCGAATTTGGGAATTTATTGCACTGAATTCCGCGTTTTGATAGTTCTTTAGAGAGGATCGCGTCGAGGCACCCACACCGAGGGGCCGCTCTCAGCCGCAATCACAGCTTTTACCTTTGCGTATATTTCTTCGGGCGTGTCTCCTGTTACTACGGCTGAAAACAAAACACACATTTTAAATTATTCAGTCTTACAGTGAAAAGTTTTAATAATCTGATAATAAAAGTAAAAACAAACTATGAGATAAATATATACATACCTGTGAAATATTCAGCGAACTCTTGTTCCATCTTCAAAGCGCGTTCGTAAGTTTTCTTCGCTTGTTCTTCGGTCATTCGTTTTGTCATTTCCCTGGAAAGACGTGATAAACAACCTAAGTATGTGTATGTTTAATAATGTACAGCAAACCAAAATACATTTTTTTGTCTTATGAATGACAAAATATAGACGGATAGTCAGACAAAATATACTTACATAATAGATTCTACACTCTTTGGTTTGATAAATATGGCAATGGGGAACAGTTGCGCGACTTGTAACCTTTTTATGGCGTTCCCGCTTACGTCTAAAATGCAATGCTTGCCCTGAAAAAAAAAATCATATATGTATTTAGGTACTTCATTTTTAATATTTAATTATTTAAAGTAAATAAAATGAGGAGACCTAACACTACCATTACACGTATATATCGTAATTTATTACTTAGTTAAAACAATTAATCTCAAGAAGATGCGCCATCGACCTTTCGCTATTCGGAAATGCACAGCTTTACAGCTCTTTCATCTGTGGATGGTTCGTGACATGGACGGATTTATATAATATTTCTATATGAATACTATACTAATTTCAGAGAAATAATAAAACTTATTACAAACATATTGGAACCTAGTAGGGATCAAATCCACGACCCGTTAATACATAGCCATACATTAAAACCACGAGCGCGTTTTACACATAAAACCTTTGAATGATTAAATAAAACCCATTTCATTTTTCATAATTCAAAAGAGAGTAATATTCGTCTTATATAAATTTGGCAGTACCTTTTCGGCAACTTCTCTGACTGAGGCGACTGACGTTCCATACAGGTTCTCATTGTACTGTCCCGCCTCGATGAACAAATGATTTTGTATGTCCCGCTCCATCTGTTCTCGGCTCGCCACGAAATGATAATCGCGTCCATCCACTTCGTAATCACGCCGCGCTCGCGTCGTATCTATGACAGACAAGTAGGAAGAACTGTATTGACACTATATGTATATCATATCCTGATATAGAAATTAGAAAACGATAATCAGACGGCAAAATTGGCTATGGACAACACAAACTATGACAAATACTGAAAAATTGAAAATAATTTATGATGTTAAATAAGAAGAAAAATAAAAAAGGTTATCATTTCAATATAAAGTAGATCTTTTATTTTAGGCTCAAGTTCTTGTTGCACGTTGTGGCTTTAAAATAATTTAAAAGTATAAAGCCCAATTGGACGCCATTAGGAAAGAATATGAACAAAGGCGGACCATCAGCAATACTAACTTATATATTACGGTGTTAGTCATCATCTTTCCTCTTTCTTATTCCCATATGGATTTCAATTTGCACGACAGGGATAGAAAATCAAATTACTCTTCGCAACCACCATATTTTATTACATTTAAAAGAGGGTACTTACGAGGGACGCAGCTTCCAAATTTATCAGGGAACTCCGATATAAGGTCATCGTTGATCCTGTCCTTAAGCGGTCCTAGAATAATCACTGGCCTCGTGTAGTTTATCGTCATTTGCTGTACCGTCTCGTAGGATAACACATTTTCGTCTTGACCTGTAACCACAATACAACATTATACAACATATCGGGGCAACATAAACGTACAACGAAACGGTAATTTTACTATTAAATTACAGATTCGTTAGCCGTCTGTCTATGGGATTAGTGTCTATTTGCTATCTATTATGGCTTAGAACTGCCGTGATATGTGATATATGCCTATGAAGTATTATTTGAATACAAAATTGTCTTTAACATTTTTCAATCGTCACGTGAAATCACTCGATAAAAGTCAAACTAGCGTGCCTCACTAATATTTGCCTGTGCATTCTACATCTTTTTGGTGCGGTACAGAGTAATCAATTGATCTTCTAACAAATCGCTTTAGTGCGTCGATTATTGTTAGGAACGTCAACTGAATACTAACCTACATCTAGAAACAAACTAAATACTATCTAATTTCTAAACTATCTAGTATTTCTATGTAATATATAGTGTAAAACCAGTTGCATTATGCACTCAATCTTACCTCATTATACCAATCACATATTCTAGAATCCGAAAAAACTAAACATCTTTAAGAATATATAGCCCAAATTGTAAGTAAATAGACAACGTCAAAGCAAAGTCAATATTTAAAAGGCGCAATTTGATACTTCATACCTAATTACATAAAGCGAATATACAAAGCGATACCTATAAAAAACTAAGGCTATACCAATACAGCGAACCCAATATTTGAAGCGACAACTAATCGTAGATGACGACTGCTAGCACGGTATCGGCGAAACAGCCCGACTGTGTCGAAACATGCTTGTGACGTATGTAAGGCTGTGGTCTTCTATAAACGCTGTGAACCGCGTACGGCGTCACGCGTCACACTGCGTCAAGATTCTTAAGCGAGACCGGTAATTGTACGCTGACACGTCAGCGTATGAAGACACTCCAGTAGATTTTTATAGGCTTAACACGATGTACTAGTGACGCTGTATACGGTCTAAGGCGTTTAAGGGAGGCCACAGACTAATGCAACTAAAGGCAAGCGCATACGCGTGCGGGCGTGAAGCTTGTGAAAGAGGCGGCTCTCGTGTCCTCGTGTGCTTCCAGTGGCCCTCACTCCCTCCACAGATACAACTGAAGCCTCATTTGTCAATAACAATGCACAGGCGCCCGACCGCCTCATTCTAGGGTGCGATAATTTAGAGATTCTTCAAAAATTTCGTGACTTGAAACATTCATGTGTGGAGAGGCTATTAGAATCATCGCGTTATGAATTAGAGTAACTTAAAATAATGACAAACAATAGAAGGTCGAGTGTTATTCAAATGAGTACTACGTTTCTAATAGATGATCATAACCAGAATGCGGGAGGTAAGGTAACGACTACAGCACTCGCAAGCGACGCCTCACCCCCAAAACTTACTCTCGTCCTCGAGATAAATGAGCGTAATCTCCTCCATCATGGGAAGTTCCACTCGGTACAAGATTTCCCCTATACGTACAAAAATTAACGTTACACAAGTTTATTCATGGCATTTTCAACCGGGCTAGGGGATGAGCTTAGAAAAATAGGATGAGATGATGCGACGTCTACTCTTTTTTCGTTTCGTCGAAAGATCCGGAACGTCGGATCTTAGTTAAAAATATCGCGTTTTAAACCGTACACCAAAGTGTATCTAACGATCCACGCCAAAGTATTATTTTATCCGATTATTTTTTAGGCAAGGCAACTAGAAGCACGGGACGGCGACCGAACCTGCGTCAAACCAATCCGTGTGCTCGGAACCCAATTATAACCATTAACTACAACACTTATGCCAAGTAAATAAATAACTATACGTCGACCACACAGCCGCGAGCCATCAAAGTACATAAATGAAACAATAGGCCAATTGGAAACCAATTATTGCTTTTTTGAGTAAGAAAAGAAATGTTTTCTTAGCGTACACGGTTGTGTGGCATATTATCTAGTGTCAACGTAAATACAGTCTAATTACGCATACACTCGTCCCGCGTACGCGCATCAATTGACAGGCGACAGAGCCGTCAAATCGACACAAAATGTCTATATAATTAATTGCGAATTATTAAGCATCTCCATGCTCCTCCAGATACCACTACAAGCGTTAATTTACTCACACATATCCAGAACAATTTTGTTTAACAATAGAGATAAAACCAATTCACTAAATATATTAGATAAGTGTTTCATATAAGTACTTAAACCATATGTGTTTGATTGGATATGAAGATGACGTCTACAATACATAATACAGATGTAGAAATTAATATTTCAATGTCTATATATAAGTGTAGACTATGATCGTATACCTAATATTCTTTATCGTTGTTAGAAAAAGCAAACTCAATAATATGAAGTCCACAGTGATAACATTAGCAGCCGCTTGAAGTATATTGCGTTGTAACATAGTCTTATCGACCGAGATGTTTCTGACGAGTACCTAACTAGACTTAACTTTGTTTTATTTATTATCCGTATTGCAATGTTGTCCTTAAGACCCCGTCAAACATGAAGCGAGACGAAAGCGTGGCGAAGCGATTTTATTTCCAAATACATCGCAACCGAGTCCTACCACATTGAAATGCGGAAGCGTATTGTATGAAGCGTTTCCGAAACGTAGATTTAAAAATAAAAAGTTTCACCATTCACTTTGTTTGACAAGAGCCTAAAGAAGGCTTTGGTCCATTGAAATTAATTTCTAGAAAGGTGAATTTCAAAAGGGATTACACAGAAACGGATAAAATGCCTAAAGCATAAGGTCAATAAGAAAATGTTCTACGACAGAGCGAGATAGCGATATATATAGAAAGAGAGAGTGCACTCACCGTCCGCGTTAGCGTCCTCTTGAGTGTAACAAAGCATGAAAGCTGTAACAAAGTTTCCGGTTACCTTCTTATAATACTTTTCTTTTTTATTTACAATGAATTCATTTTTGATTACGTCAGATTCTTTAGACCGCCTTCTCGGCCAAACTTTTAATGTTAGTTGTTCATTAAATTGTGACGACTGTGCCCAATTTACCAAAATGTGTACTGTAATATGTACATTTTTCGTCCTACCCTCTAGATTTTGGGTCCAGCGTATTTAAAAGAAAGCATTTAAAAACTTGCAATGTACAAGTCAAATAAATAATTGCGTATATGTATTTATACTATACTTACGCTCTTGGTCCGAGCCATCTTCAGACTTTCCGTCTTCTCGGCTCTTCATGAAGGGGAATCGTTTGCTGAACGAAAACGTTTTCTTTTTCCTCTCCAGTGTCGATTGGCTCTGCAATGTTTACAAAAATGTTTTGAGAAGCTTTCATTTAATTTAAATCTTACCAATGTTCTCGGTTAAACTTGTTAAGGAACTATCTCTGAGTATATACATACATTTGGATTTCTATGTATGTTTGTTAGTCTTTAAGAAATTGTTATATTAGTTTTACTTATCATAAGGGACAGCGCTGTTAAGTTTCCTAAATAAATAATAATACTGTTTCTTATAAACAGGAATAATCATGCTTGCACTAGGTACGGCATTTTACACGTATTGTGGCGTCACTTTTATTACATCTGAATCGTTATATTTATTGTGTCTAAGGGCAGTAAGCATACCGTGCTGACCGGCGTGCCTTGCCCTTGGAACTTGACCTGTCGATCGCGTGCTCGCTGCTTCCTCTCCCAGCGCCTCTTTGACGGGATTATACCAATCGCATCTGGGTCTGTGCTGTCTAATCGCCTGCATACGATACATTTTATTAATGATAGAGGATAGACGAGCATGAGGTTTATTTGATGGAAGGAAATAGGATGCTCTGTCGAATTATTTTGACTTTGGATATGCGGAACACATTCTTATAAACCTTCCCTAAATATGTTTCTTATAAATACTGTCTTTAGTTTACGAGAGTAGTACACATTTAAATAAAACACTTTAACGGTTTAAAACGCGATATATTAGGTTAAACTTATTTGAAAGTGATTTTTAACTTCAGTCAACGGTCTCCCCGTGACCACGGCTGCTGCGAAGCATCCGAAACGTCGGGCCGAAATAAAAAATCATTTTCAAATAAGTTTGACCTAATATATCGCGTTTTAAACCGTTAAAGTGTTTTATTTAAATGTTCCTTATAATTTCTGAGGTAGTATAAAAATGGAACAACATCTACGTATTGTCTATAGTTTATGAGAATTCACATACATTTAAACTTAAAATAAAACACTTTTAACGGTTTAAAACACGAAATATATAAGTCAAATTATTTTTAATTCGTTTCGGACACTGCTGCTAAGCATCCGAAATGTCGGACAATAGTTAAACATAAGCTAATCAATATATTTCGCGTTTTACACTGTTACAAGTGTTTAAAAAGAAACTGCAAATAAAGGAAGGCATTTCTGTTAATATAAGGGTCTAACCTGGCCTGCCACCACTCGTCATCAGACGCATTGGTGACGTGCAGAATGTCTCCATATCTGAAGGGCAGACCTCGCGATGGGAGCCCATCGTCCCGAATCGGGTCATAGTCGAAGAGCGCTCTGAAATTTAGCACAATCAAATTTTTTTTTAAATTTATATATTGGGACAATTATAATCATTACGAACAATATAAAAAGATATTTCTGAACAAGCGCGTACAAACGTCCAAATGAACCATACACCTTATTGTCTGAGCAAATTTTAACTGTGAATTTTAGAAAATTAACTAGATACTACTGATAAACTATCGTTCTTATAACAAAGTTCGACAAGTATTTTTGCACTTATCGGACTAATATTTCAAATAGTAAAACATTTTATAAACAACTTAAGCTATAAAACTATTCAGTTACACACAACTTTCTTGATATTTCTGGTTAGTAAAATTTAGTAATCGACTTATTAAATTTAAACTGTTATACGTTTACTACTGTCCTCACATTGCTCAAGACATAAAAGGTATTAAGACGTTAATGGGATAACACATCTAGTAATAAGATCAAGACAACACAAGCAAAATTCTAATCACCAATACATACCTGACATACAGCGATCGTTTCTGCGAGGTTCTAAGTAACGTATTGTGTTGCTTCAACTCATTGATACGAGCTTCGAATTTGTTGTATTCCTGCGGCCTGTACACAACTGTTAATTTTACATTTTGGCCCGTACTCTGCAAAGAAAACCATACAAATACAAATGTACCCGAGTGAACATTACCTAGAGGCAAGGGGACCTCGGTTGACAGGCATCCTTATAGTGTTGTGTTCGATCACGTTATGCGATGTTTGCGCTACCTCTTACGTGCGCCGCTTATTAAATTACGCGTATGAATAACATTGAGATATCTGTTTTTATAATTAATTTAATTTATCGATAATCGATTGTTTTATGTCGATTCAAATTGTAACGTAACGGATCATCACTATTCGTTCAAAAATAGAATAAAATCGCGCTAGTGTGTCGGTCGGGTAATCGGGGTGAATTCACTCACGCATCCACCACTGTACATATCGCGTGACTGACCAAATACATATTGTAATAAGCAATGACAATCGATTATGACGCAATGCGTAAAGGACCGTTTACATATAGAGAACGTGTTTCATTCATTAACTGGTTTTTGGCATTCCGATTTTAAGCAAATGCCGAAAGTAAGCGACGCAATTACGCATAACTGTTTTAATATTTCCACACACAGACAAGACACCTATTATGATATATATGTAAATTAAACAACGCTGTGCCCTATTTGGGCATATTATAAATGTTATAATGAAATAAAAACATTAACAGTTTAAAACGCGAAATATTTTTGTTAATTTATTTTTTAACTTCAATTAGACGTTTCCCATTCTTTGATGGTGGAAACTACGGATCGTAACTAGTTTATTTCGAATTTTAATCCGTTGTCAGTGTTTAGAAACTTTTATATTTTTCTCTTGTTATTGCACGTGATGATATTATACAAATAAAACATGGATTTTAGATTGATACGACACAGAGGATTTGAACCGGGCAGTTGATCCAAATGAGCCAACGTGTCCTACACATCCATCATCGTCGAATATTGCAACCTATTGACACATGCATTACCACGCAACCGTTATAAGTGTTTTATTAAATGCGCCCTACTCGAATAAACTATAAAACTTACTATTATACTAGCTGTGTCAGCGACTTCGTTCGCGAGAATAGTTTTTTTACGCATCAAAATTTGATGTTGCATTTGTTTTTAATAAACGTCTACTCGGGTCCGTTGCAACTTTTTTTAAATAACATTACTTTCTTAGGTAATAAAAGAGATACTATATATAATTCTTTTATACATATGTTTTGGGTATCTTGAGTGTGCAGTGTACGCATCGGGAATTTTCCCCATTTGATTCACGTTTTCCGTAGTTTCTTCACTCCTAATAATGTCAGCCTATATCATGTAGCCTTCCTCGATAAATCCTCTAACTAACACAAAAATAATTTTTCAATTTGAACCTGTAGTTCCTGAGATTAGCGCGTTCAAACAAACAAACTCTTCAGCTTTATATAGATTAAGCTTTCGGCAAGTCTACATAATTATAATCAGTTTATTAATTAATACATCACAAGATTAAGCTAATCGCTTTCCCTTTGCATTAGTTGAAATTTAATTGTTTCATTCATAAACTTTCACAAAACGTAAACTTATATAACTCGTTTAACTCATGCATATGTATAAACGATAAAATAATGAACCATAAGACGTATACACAGTACTGAAAACCTAAAATCCATGCAAAATGACACCGATTAAAGTTGTGATATTTTTTTTAATTCAACCAGTACCCCCGTGACCACGGCTGCTGCAAAGCATCCGAAACGTCGGGCCGAAGTTAAAAATCATTTTCAAATAAGTTTAACTAATATATCGCGTTTTAAACCGTTAAAGTGTTTTATTTAAATCAACCAGTACATTTCTTTATAAAAGCAAGCTACTTTACGCGTGCGTGGGAGTACATTGTTAATCCTGGACAGCCTAATACGAAATCTCTTGTAGGTCGCTACAAATAACCTAATAACTATATTACTTTTGTACAATTTACTATTAATTTGAATACATGTTGTTTTCAGGCAAATGGCGTTTATTATTGCTTTATTATAAAGGTTAACGGGTCGAATCCTCGGTTGGGTAGGGCTCAGAAGTATAAACATGGTCTTGCTTATGCCTTGTTGAAACTGTGTTAACCTGTCCACTATATAGGGAAATCGGCATTTAACAGACAATGAACAGTGTACACAACACCTAAATCACATACCTTCAACGCCTTTGCGGCCAGTTCGTGCGTTGCATGCGTAATATCAGTGTCGTTGACGGCTAGCAATCGGTCGCCGCGACGCAATTGTCCGGAACGCTCCGCGGGGCCCCCCGCTAGTAGGAACGAGACGTAGATGCCGTGGCCGTCTTCACCCCCCACTATGTTGAAGCCGAGGCCCTGGGTCCCCTTCTCCAGTTCAACGACGCGTGGTTCCTCAGCGCTGTCTGTTACGTCTTCGCGCCGCAGCGAGTTAGTGGTGCTCGATGTCGGACATGCTGATGTTGAGAATCATGATTTAATTTTATATACTAAATCAGAGATCAGAGATGGGCTAAGTAAAATTCGTGATTTATATACGTTAATAAAATAAATTTAATTTAGATATATAATTACAAATTATTAACATTTTATTATTCAAATCAAATTAAATAAAAAAATCATTTATTCATGTTGTACACTTATGAATGTTAAAACAGTTAAAATTTTAAAAACTGTAACATTAATTGGGAACAGAAGACACTCCATGAAAATTTATAAATTTATTTCAACAAATAAATTAAATGATAATTTCAAATGAAATTCAATCGCATTCGATAATGTAAGATGTAAGAATGACCTTAATATGGTAAAATGTTAAGAAACCTAACTATATTTAATACTAAATAAAATATATTTGAACATAGTCTAAGGTTAAAAACATTTAAAACATTTACGCGTGTTTGCCCGCGACGTCCGGGGCGAAGGTTGCCCGTGCCTCGGTCCAGGAATAAGAACCAATAGCACCCGTTCCCCTGATGCCTTCAAAGCGGCCACTGCATCCTCGTGTGTAACATTGTCCAGATTCACGTCACCTTTCTAAAAAAAAAGGTATTATTACTATCCTTATACAAACATACTCTATCAATCAAAATGTATATTTTAACATAAAATTTAGCATTGTCTGTAGTTTACGCGAGTAGTACATATTTAAATAATACACCTTTACTGACGAAATATAGTATAAATTAAAGTGTTAATAACTACGACATAAGGTCTCCCCGTGACCACAGCTAGTGCAATGCATCCGAAACGTCAGGCCGTAGTTAAATAAACTAAAATTGAGTTTAGTTTATAAAGAAGGGTTATAAAAAAGGGTGAATTTTCATGAAATTTATACTCAAATAAGGTGACAGAGTTTGTTTGGTTACTCCATTCTCAGAAACCAATGTGTGCGATAAAAAAGTACAGTTTACAAGATGGATTTGGATTTTGCCTTTTCACTCTGTTTTATTGATTTTCATGGTTGGCTTGCTAACGCCTCAACACTTGCACGGTATTTAAGGGTCCATAGTGAATGACACCAAGACATAATATATTAAATGATTATCTTTCTTAACAATTTAGTTTGTAACGCTAAATCATATAAGGGGAAAAACTCAATGCACTCACCGAAGTATTTTTAACCATTAACAATTTATCCCCAACCCTCAGACGTCCATCGCGATGAGCGGCACCGCCAGCCATTATCTTTGTGACGTAGATTCCATTGTCACCTGGGATGTGCTGGTTTCCAAGCCCACCTGCTATACTAAACCCTAACCCGGAACCACCTTTTACAAGTTCTATTTCAATAGCTTCTTCCTTATTCGATATTTGTGACACGCTGAGGTGATCTTCTACGGATCGACGTTTTACTTTCTACGAAAAAAGAAAAACATGTTATAGAAATGCGTCATAGCCATGGGTTCGTAACACTGTGTTATGTTTTTAAGATAAATTAATTAACAAATGACGCCTTTTTGTGTGTGAAATCTCGTTTCCCCCTAGCATGGAGAACGGGTCAAACATATTTCTATGTCTGTTTCACTGATCCATTCTTTAACAAGCACTGCTAGAGTATAAATAGTTGATCAGACTTCTGTGCCCTGCACCGACCGAAACAATGTTTTTGTCTCCCTGGGATTCGAACCCAGGACCTCTCGCGCTGAACGCAATCAGCGTTTGAGTCCATATTTAAAAACTTTAATATTATTCACATAATGCCATTACATAAATTGAAAACCTATTTAGATTAAAATAATAGAAACAATTAAATAGATTTATAAAAAAAAAATAGGTATAAAAGAAAATTAAATTTAGATTAGATAAAAAAATATACGATCTGGACGGGACTTGAACCAGTGATAAAAATACAGTATTCTATCAAAACAATGGGCGGACTTGAACAGGCACCTACAAATAATTTTTAACGAAAATAATATGATAGAGATAAGGCATAAATAATTTAATTATTAGTAATTTTATTAACACCAAGGCACTTGTCAATAGGGACCTAACTTGGGCATAGACGTGAGTCCCAATAGTGGGCCAACTATATTGTACATCTTACACAACCTCGGCCTGGTCAAATACATACCAATCGTACTGTGTTGCCGGCTTTTTTTAACGCATCTACTGCTTCAGCATGCGTCACGTTCTCCACATTTGTGTCGTTAACCTGTATAAAAGGGTTAAATTCAATGCAAACCTCACATTGTTTAGAATAAAAATAAAACTCTAGTTTCATTCAGAATTGTTCATAAATAAAATAACGAATGAATTAAAGCATTCAACTTGGAGCTTTTCAAATAAGCGCGTTTCGTTTTCGTATTTATTAACTGTAAGTACCACTAGAACTTTCAGGTAGAAAAATGGAAAATGCAAAAAAAATAAAATTACATTTTGACCTTCGCGGTTTGCTTAGCAAGCTCTCAAATCTAGTAGCTGTTTTTATCGAGCATTGTCTGAGTATGCCCGAGTTGTTTTACGTTTAAATAAAACGCTTGCAACGGTTTAAAACGTGATATATTTTAGTTACACGTTTCTTGCAAAACACCCGAAACGATAGGTCGTAATAAATAATTAGATATAGAATAAATAAATAACTATGGTTCCTCGATTCTCAACCTCGATTGCTCGAGAGTTCTGAAATTTTCGAGCAATCGAGGAGCAATCATCTCCTGATGATGCCGAAATGTCGAGAACCTCGTCTCGCATACGTCAGCAAACAGGCCGAAAAACAATGATATTTTATTTATATTCTTTTTCTTGTTGCTGTGAGTATAACTGACCTGTAATATGGCGTCATTAATTTGTAGCTGGCTAGCGGCAGCGGCTCCACCGGGAATGAGTTTAGTGACGTAGATATGAGGGTTGTCAGCAACATGTGGGTTATCAGAACCACCGGCAATGCTGAATCCCAGTCCTGCACCACCCGCCCGGGACAGCACTACAGTCATGTACTGGTAACCATCATCGCCCATCACAGCACCACCCTCGATACCGTTTATCTGTAACTTTTACACCATATCAAAATGACAGGATTAAGTAAATTGGAAATCGCTATAAGATTATTGAGACTTATGAGTTGGAGAATATTTAACCTATTTTTAAACTTTGCTTATACCTATACAAAACCTTTTTTTATTAATGTATAGAGAAAACATTAAAAAGTTTTATGGCAACTTAAACTTTCGTTAAGTAAATATAAGGCTGTTAGAATCAGAGTGGCCTAATAACAAAAACATGATTTTCTATAAGAGGTATAGGAGATTATTTATGTAAGAGATAATATGTTAACAATTTTTGGTCACCTTGCACTTGTATATTAACATTTTTGGATTATAAAAATATAAACAAGTCAAGTCATAAAAATTGCAGTTAGGCTACTCTGCCTCTAGCGGCCTCATATATCATCATCACACATCAGCTATCACCAAATGAATAGTAATAATTGTGCTGAACAACCACAATATTTAAAAATATTTACCAATTGAAACATGAGCTGGTAGTAATCAATTGATGTAATATCAGTTCAAATTACTGTATCAATTGATACATGTTAATTGTCAGACCACTTAACACTAAATCAAAACACCCTCAAATTAATATAGTTCCTAAAACATTCAGACTAAATAGGAAACCGACACAATAAGTCCATGTACGTATTGAAACATTACTTATTTAACTCTTCATTTCTGTAGAACTTATTTTCCTTAGTGCACTTGATTATTAATGAATCACTATAATTTAGGTGATATATTTACCTGCTTCATTTCCGGTGTGGAAACATGAGCCTGCAAAGAAAACAATACTAAATTAATGTTGCAAACAATTCTATGTACTCTTCTTCTGAACGCAGAACATGGTAACATTTCTTACATTTACATACGATGAATTATGGAACAAGAGTTAGTATTAAGTATCATGTTATGATATGAATTGTTTAAGTATATATGTACATACTTTTAAATTCAATCTGCAAGGGTTAATTCATTTATTAAATAATAATGTGTTTGTAAGTATATACTTAGTAAGGTACTTAGAGTATAGTAGTAACTTTTGTACGCTTGATAAATCTTACGGTTTTTAATTGTAAAATAGCTGTTTATCCTATCTGTTAATTCATATACATAATACATTTACTGTGTGAACTTAGTGATCCATTAAAACAATAATTAGTATGATGTTTCATGAATGGAGTTTATCTTATACAAATATTTAGAATCCTACTATACACAATGAAGTACAGAGATGAGTCAATCTGTTTACCTTGTAATTAACCACATCAGATAAAATGTAGTACAATAATATATTTAAAATTGAATACAAATATGACCATGAGCCAAATGAGCATCATATTACAACATACAGGTAAGTGGCAGTGGCGTTAACAAGTAAACAATTTCATGGCCGATGGGCCAAGTATAGTACCATAAAACTTACCGTATCGAGATTAAATAAGGATGACACCTTTCGAAGGAATCCATTATGGGTTTTTTTCTTCCGTCTTTCAGTCATTTTGTTAACCAAGTGTGCATAACCGTCAGGAATTGTATTTTTGCACTACAATATGTACACTGCATGCATTGTTAGTTACACACTTGTGCCTGATGTCAGCACCTTACTGGTCGCTCTTCGACATGCACCATGGTCTACCTAGAACCCATGTCTAGCTTACACCAAAATAAACTTCTAGTTCTTATCCAGTCTCTTTAAAATGGTTTGCCTTTTCACATAAACCCACTGCATAAGCTGATTATCATGTTAGCTTGCTTTAAATTACACCAATCCTTATCTAAAATTACACGAGCCTAGCCCATTTTGATGGTGAATTATTAGATTGTATGGATATTATGTTAAATAGGTGTTACCAGCTTATTTTCAATGATGGGATGGTATGAATGTCAAAGCGATGAAGTTTTATTAGAATGTCCGTGTTACGTTATTTGTGTGCGATAGATCAATTTGATATTATTGAAAACTGACGAGCTAGTAACAGCCAGCAAATTGCTACAAGCGAAATTATGTCAGAAGTTGTATTAGTCTCACCAATATGTTTGAAATCGTTCCCAAATTATCAAGAAATTACTAAACGTTTAAAAATAGATTAGTGTACATTATGTGGCCTTACTTGCGACGAGTACGAAATAACAGCAGTACAGTAGGTATTGTGAATGTCAAAATTTTATGTGCAATAACATTTCACTGGATATCGTATTAGTGCAGTCTCCAATATGCCTCAATTGATGCAGCGTTCTTTCGACATTGGCACAGTAATTGTGAACTGTATCACCACAAATCCACAGATCGAACAAATGTTATTATACATATCGCTGAAAACTAGAACCGTGTTGTAGGTTATAAATAGTACTACGGGACGCGAATCACCAACTATCCGCCATTAGCGGTTGAGGATTGCAGGTTAGATTGGCTACCTCAATCTTCAGCTACTCCTTGCAGACGTCACGTCATCACATAAAAAATCATGATTCGTGATAGAAACTGAACCACCTATACCAAAATATGTATTCCACTTAGATTGCGCTTGCGGTTCGTCGCCATTGCGCATTAACAAATCAAGTTCATTGCCTAGAGATAATTTGCAATTTTGCCAATAGATGGCGCTGCAATCAAAACGCATAATGCCCGTTTTCCCGCGTAAATGACTTAACAGTTAATAATAATTATGCTCTAAAAGTAAATACAATCTTATGTTTAATGTCTCATTTTAATTTTTAACCTGTCTGCGCCTAAAGGACTTATTAAATGAATTATATTAATAAATATTAATTATTAAATAAAGGCCATACTTACTTTTACGAAGTGTTAAACATTTTGCTTCTCGGAGAGACACAAGACGGGGTTAACGATATTTTTGACAGACTAAAAAATTCATACACCAATATATAAATAAATACCTTCTTCTCATCCGCGTCTGCACTCGGCGATATAATTGTAGTTGGCGCAGGACCGATTTGCTAAAACAGAAGACAAAGGTTTGAACATAATATTTCTAAAGTAGCTATATGTATATAATGAGCTATATAGAGATGGCTGAATTACCTTCCCAGAGTCGGGTGTATCAGCATATCGATCAGGTTGCCTATTGTCTTGAAGAAAGGCATTTGAGACTGATCTGTACTCGCTCTCCTCGTTCGGAATCTATAATATACAAATGACATTGTAAGTTAAACATTAAGCACTTATTTTAGAAATATTTCACAGTCTTGGTATTTGTTCTACTGATGTCAGATCGATGTCGACCTATCATATTATTTATTCAAAGCGACCTTCCACAAACTTTTTCTGCTTCATTATAGACAACTTTCCCAAACTTGAGAACTGCCCAAAGTATATAAATAAAATATTTAACACCCAAGTTTTAATACATCAAGAGGAATATTATGGATTTCGATAATTTAGATTTCGTTTTTACCGTCTGCACAAGTATGCATTTTAACAACTCACAAAAGTTAAAATTGTCTCACATTGTCTTATTTCGGTGGGTGGAGTGGCTCTCTTCTGCACTAACACGCCACTGTAACCTATATTTCTTTTCAACGTAAATGCTTCAGTGTTCCTTTTTTAAATGAGCATATAAGTAGAAAAATGAAAAGTCCACTTGCAACATTATAATTTCGATGTATGAAGCGCTAGTGCGATTTATGCTTGACCTGATTTAACTTTAATTCTGTTAACTTGTATGAGAAAAATAATATTTCAAGAGCGCGCTCTGTGTAACTGTTACACGGAGAAAAGTATTTTATATAACTTACTTCGCGTCGAACGCCATCCGTTTCCCACTTATTTGCGATTCGTATTGTTTCTGCTGTCTTCTGTTGGATCGATTTGTTGTCATCGAGAAGTGTGAGCTCGTAGAACTCTTGAATATCTGCAACCATTGAACAATGTATGAGTTTAGTTTGAATAAAACACGTTTAACGGGAAACGCGAAACATTTTAGTTAAATGATTTTGACAATGTTCCGGATGCTTTGCAGCAAACATCGTCATAGTAGATTGTAAAGGACGTCAAAGAAAATCTTCTGTATAATTTAAATTACAAAATTTCACTCCAGATATGTTAAGAAAGTGGTGTGTAACTAAACTACTTAACGAAATTTTGATAGCGCAAGTGCAAAGCTATAGATTATAAAATGTGTGCCCCTATAAAACTTTTCCGATAAAAAAAAATTGTTAACCAAGGTTTCAGATTTGAAAACTTTCATATTCTTCACATGTTATTGCATGTGAAGGCACTATATAATTTAAACATTGAAAATAAATTAAAAAAGTGAAACTGAATGAACTCGGTAGCTCAATTGGTAGAGCAACAGCACGGAACACTGACGATGCCGGTTCAAGTCCTGCCCGTGTCGAATTTTTTAAAATTTTTTAAATTTTAAAGGTTTCAGATGCTTTACAACAGCCATTGTTATGGGGGACACATTTCGCGTTTTAACCCTTAAAAGTTAATGATAATGTTAAAACACTGCACTATTAAACATTGATTTTATTGTTTCGTATTAAAAGTATTTTATTTATTTGATTCTTTGTTTTCCATACTATTAAATGCAGCATAGATAGAAGTTTACATTACATAGCAATGAATGAAATATACCGTAGAAGTATGCAAAAACTGCATTACAATTCTTTTTTCCACTTTGGCACTCTAGTAGCGTCGTAGTAATCGATATTGACCGAACGGGCATTGATCCCCAAAGTATTTAATTACAAGTATTAAAGTTAAAACTATACGACCTACGTCCCTTACTTGGGTTTTAGGTTGTACTTATTTCTTTTTCTATTCACTGATCTATTTCAATAACTGTCGTAAGTATTATAGTTGACGCAAATTAACAGTTTAAAATGCGAAATATATTATGTGGCTATTTTAACTACGGTCTTATTGGTTTAAAAGAAAATATTTCGCGTTTTGGATCGTTTAAAGTGATTTATTTAATTGAAGGAGTTAATGCGACTGGTTTGTCGAACTCGAACGTGTCGATTCGAGATTTGTATCCACAACTCTAGCACTTAAATCATTGCTAAGAACGACACTACCTCTACATTATCGTAGTGACTACTATCAGCCGCTTTGTTTTTGTTACAAGCAAAGTTTCAACTAACAAGGTACGTCGCCAAAAATTGTGTCGTCGCCTTATCTCTATTTCGTATTCAAGTATTCTAAAAAAGGCTACCTTAAAAGCTTCCAACTCAATGTCAAGGGGTTGGCTAATCATGATGTCATTTTGTTGCTTTCTTTGAATAAATGGTGTCTGTATCAACCCTTACAGATAATATTATTATAATAAACTAGATACGGCTTCAGCGCGAGCAGCTGTAATATTTAGTCACTGAAGGTGTGTTCAATAACACGATATACTACGACGAATACTTGGGATTCGGATGTATGTCAAATACTAAAGTTTGATGGATATGAGCAAGATTTTAAACATGGAATTTTTGTATTTTACGTAACAATATTTGATTTAAATAAAACACTTTAACGGTTTAAAACGCGATATATTAGTTAAACTTATTTGAAAATGATTTTTAACATCGGCCCGACGTTTCGGATGCTTTGCAGCAGCCGTGGTCACGAGGAGACAAAAATAGAGTGTCTGTTGGTTGGTTGAGGACGACTTTAGGCTAAGATAATCATCAAGCCGTAATCTATACAAACGAAGAGACAGTGGGAAATGTGGAAGAAATATTCTTCTTTAAATAATGTAACAAAATGTCCGACGTGACGCGGACGACGTCGTGGGAAACAGCTATAGTTTATGAAACTGAGGAGGAGATTTGCAAAAATACCTACATTTTGATGGCCAAAATAACTACTTCACGCGGACAGATAGGACGCGGATACGTAGATAATATATTACGATTAATTAATTATGTGTTGGTTAATTGTTACGGGGATTTTAAATGCATTAATGATCAATAAATGAATTAGTCTGTATGTCATTATTAAATTCAACACCAGAGTCGTGTTGAAACACTTTTGGCAGCCGATCGCACTTCGAGTTTAATTAAAGAGAACGCATTTAATAGGAATACATACAATACGGTTTTTATTAATTATACTTACTATATAAGGCCTTATATATACTATATAAGGCCTTAGGTCTGCTCTACGTGTGTCTGTGCCCTGACTTAAAAATTATTTCTTGTGCTTTACTTTTAACAATGGATGTCGGTACACGAACATACTGTTATATATTTTTGGCTTCATATTTATGACAAAAACATAAGAATACCTTAAGTACTATATTTAGTTTACGCGAATATTCAATTAAATCACGAAATGTATTAGTTAACTTATTCACAATAAATTTAAAGTACTTCCCCTCCCCCCGTGACTTCGGCTGCCACATACAAAACGTAAGGCCGTAGGTAAAATATATTGTAAATGAGTTACTTAATAAGTACATTTTAGTTTTAACAAATGTTTTACTTAAATAATAAAAAAAATAAAAGCCAAAGTATTTTATTTCTATGTAACAGCAACTGCTTAAAACTGTCGAAAGTAGCTAATGTTCCTAGTTACGTAATTTATTTTACGCGTAATCCTTACAGACAATATATCCCCTAATTACAATTATTGGATCCCTATTATATGAAATCCCAATTGGAAATAGTTCAACGGGAACGAATTGTATTGCTGAGAATGGATGTATGGCAGTTGCAGGTCCGTAACCTATGAGATCTATGACCCGTATCAGTAGATCTGGGTCAAACTGCCAATAATGTTCATGCTAGTCAGAATTTGTATCAGCTTGATACGAATTAGATACTGTCTATAGTTTACGCAAGTAGTGCACATTTAAATAAAACACTTTAACGGTTTAAAACGCGATATATTAGTTAAACTTATTTGAAAATGATTTTTAAGTTAAAAATCATTTTCAAATAAGTTTAACTAATATATCGCGTTTTAAACCGTTAAAGTGTTTTATTTAAATGTGTACTACTCGCGTAAACTATAGAGACAGTATTTAATTGATTTTTAACTTCGGCCCGACGTTTCGGATGCTTTGCAGTGTCTCCCCGTGACCAGCGGCTGCTGCAAAGCATCAAAACGAGCCGAAACGCCGGGCCGAAGATAAAAATCATTTTCAAATAAGTTTAACTAATATATCGCGTTTTAAACCGTTAAAGTGTTTTATTTAAATTGATACGAATCACTTAGGCCTTATTATTATTCGATTTGTTTTTGTCGTTGGATTAATGTATGACATTATTAGTCTAATCAACGCGGTTTGAATTTTGATCCCCACCGTGTACTACATGATTTAATTCTATCCGAAACATATGAGATTTCCTCGTGAAAATCTGGATATAAAATGGGTGGTAAATTTAAGTGATATGAAGAACCCGTCAGATAACGGTTTTAGTCGGTGAGTTTCCGAAATCCAAAATAGGTACGTCGGCCAAAAAATTTCACCGAAAATATTTCGCTTTCCATCTGGTGAACTCTCTATCCTCTTCTATCGTAAAAATAATAATATTGTAAACAATGCAATATTTAAGTGTGTTAAAACACTTCTTCGATATTATGTGCACAAACCCATAGACTTTACTTTTTCATTAAAACCGTGATTTTTTTTCTGATTGGATAGTATGTAAATTGGTTTTTTTAATTTAATTACAATATTACCGTGCCTAAAATAAGACTTCAGATCGCGATTCTTTACATATTTGAAAATCTTCACCAATATAACTCGTATAAACTAACTATACACATCTTTATAACGCCAAATATGTCATAATAAGTCCCGACATAGGCTATTTATTTAGACAACAGCTGGCTAAATATAATAAAATAGATCACAATAGCCGTGTCGTGGTCAAGCACAGACGAATTCAAGAGCGATAGTGACGTAAATATGGTCACGCGCACGATTCGGTTATTTATAGCTAAATACTAAATAGTAACTACCGATTCGAAACTATATGGTTCATACTATATAGTAAATACATTACAATATATTTTCTTTGTAACTAATTTTAATATAACACTTTGGCTTTAACGTGTTTGTACCTAATTGTAGATTTTTTGTGTATAAGTTAAAATTCTATCTACTTGTATTATTTACGGCGACGATAAATATATTTATTTTTAATTAGTTTAATTATTATGAGTTTATATATTACTTATTGTTTTTGTAAGAATATGTTTATAAGAATACATTTGTGAAATGTATGTATATTAATAAAATAAAGATCTACGTGTTTTATTTAACATTTTAATTCCTGTAAACTACCCCTTCAAAGCATATTGTACTCTTACTCGGGGAGCTCCTTATATGTTCCCTAGTTTTCTGATCTTCATCATCCCTTGTCCCAAAACAGCATTTTCCTCCTATGTGTCAATAACCTCACCTAACCTTCAAGTAGGCAAACTCCGAACTCCTAAGCACAAAGACATTTGTTGTTTCTATTTCTTTATTTATTTATTAAACAATTAAAACGGCAATAGCCACTTACATTTATTGGATAGAAGTACAAAATTCGAAGTACAAATCCATATGTGTGTTATTTCATTAGTTGTTATATTATAAAATAAACTAACACTGTGGGTGTAACAGTACCCACAACGAGAATCTATTACAGGTACGTTTTAAAAAGAATTGGCGTAAGTAGACTTCTGGGTCCTGAAAAATTTAGTACGTACCAAGAAGCGCCTGAAAAAGGCGCGATTTGAATATCCTGATGACTCTTTCTATAGCGAGGCGCAGTTGTCGGTCTTGAGGTTTTATTAGTTTGCTGTGGTAGTCCTCAAGCAATTCCAATGCTCGATGGGCCTCTGCAAGAATATATTGTTATTAGGAACAGTCGATGTTGTTAAATACTGTCTATAGTTTACGCGAGTTGTACACATTTAAATAAAACACTTTAACGATTTAAAACGCGATATATTAGTTAAACTTATTTGAAAATGATTTTTAACTTCGGCCCGAAGTCTCCCCGTGACCACGGCTGCTGCAAAGCATCCGAAACGTCGGGCCGAAGTTAAAAATCATTTTCAAATACGTTTATTTAATATAATATCGCGTTTTAAACTGTTAGTGTTTTACTTTAAAAAGTCTATGTTGTTACTGAAAAATATTAAATCGTAAATAGATAGATACAGGTATTATAGCAATAGATAGATATTTTGAATAGGAAATAGCTAGATACAATGAATTGATTATTGATTTTAATTTATTAGAAAAATAACGCGTTAGATGGCTTTAATTATACTTAAGTATTCAATAGTATACGAAATTATATGTAGACAGTAGCAAATGGTACTGAAAAATAACCCGATTATTTTAATTCAACCAGCTGCTTCTTGGACCTGATCAAAATATGCTATATTTGTTGAGGGAAATTTGTTACAAAATTTTACGAAGCGCCAATTAATCGAATCATTGAACCGTAAATTTGGCTGACCTGTGTAGCCAATCTATGATGAATAGTAAATAAGTATTTAGATCAGCAGTAACCTATGCGGCGATCATCTTGAGTTACTTAAGTTATTCCTCTAATTTTTCCAATTTTTATACTTTTTAGCTTAGTTAGCAAACATTATATTTTTATCGATAATATTTAGTTGTTTAGAAAAATTAAAAAATCATATTCAAATTAGACTGTTACTATCGTTTGTAGGTTGTTAAATTCTATCTTATATATGGCAATAATTGTTAAATACAATATATCATGTAGGTATGTGTACGTGCTGTGTAATTTATTCGAGAGTCGATTTCATAACATTAGATTGTACACGATACTTTGCCTGAACACCTGGCAACCCCAACGACAACAATAGAAATGTGTTATGGCTTTTAACCCTTCGCAATCAATTAAATTCAGACCTAGGTCATAGAATGGGTCACGCCGTATAAAGAGCACAGCAAATATTCACCTTGCTTCCGAACTGGCATCACGATACCGCCCCCTAACGTAATTTTGTAACACTATTAATATATTTTAAAGGAATAAAATTTCAACGTATTACATAGGACGAGAGGCTATCGCGAATAATTTCACAATTTCAATCACAGAGGAATACATTTTCCACGGCACATATGGTCCCACAAAAAAAACATTTAAAATTATTGAAACGATGCCCTAAAAATATAATGCGGCAGTGAGTCCGCTTACGAGGGCCGACGAATACTGTTCTCGGTGGGATTGGTCGATTTTCACTGTGACGTCATAGGGTGGAAGCATAGACAATATTGTGTATTTCTAAGGGTAGGGGAGAAAATACTGGGGTTCGTGTCGCTACTACTACGTTCGAGCGACTTTTAAGTTCTGTACGTCATAATATGACCGCGTTACGGGACGGAACAGTCAAATCGTGTAAAGTCAGCTGTGTTCTACTAAATAATGAATTGTACTTAGTTATCTTCACAAAACGAAAATAAAATTAGCAACGCAGAATGTCCAGGTGCTTACTAATAGGAAAATTCGTGTGCTAATGAATTAACTAAATGCTGTAAACGTTTTTGAATTAGGTCACAATATAGGGTTTTCAAATATAATTTGCAGGTGTACCAGCACCTGCGTATCTTATGATATTTTTTTTTTTGCTAATTATTAATTAAATTAGTATGTAGGTAATACACCTTGCTATATACCTATAGTAAAATAAATTGGCATTAAAAGCATGCATAAAAAATTAGTTTGGATTGTTTTTTTTTTAATTCGTATTACAGAGAAACTATTTTTTTATTTTACGTAGTAGATATATTATATTATATGAGTACAGGGGTTACTGATCAACTCAAATTCCAGACAATAAGGCTAAAGCAAAATATTAAATAAAATTTATCAGCACCCCAGCGCTTAAATCTGTAATAGAAATAAAAAATGACGTCGTTACGTTTCACAAAATGAAATGAATATTATATCTAAACTTGTTTTTAGTACAATATTATAAAATGTAATTCTTTAAACTGATAATACTCCATAGAAGTCTCGGTTTGTGTACAATGACTTTTCCCGCCATTAATTTAAACGATAACACATTTTCTATTTATCGCCGATTGTATCGACCGACCAACGACTCTGCATGTTATTGTATAACTTTCGTATTATTTAGATGTTTGCAAACAATCTGGTTCAAACGGCTGAAATATTTTTATGGAATGCTTGTCACTAAGTAGAAAGTAATATCACAATAGTAGGTAGTAAAGCTTATTCTTCTACATTTAGATTGTGTTAAATTGTAACGTTTAGTATAAGCTATGAAAATGTATTACCTACTTTAAGAAGTGGATACGTGTTGATGTTTGACGTTGAAGTTTCGATTCTGTCATTGCAGTTAAGATCTTGCGGGATTCGTGCAGTGTCCATTCAATGCCCCACTGTTCTTTTCCAATTTTTCCCTCATCTTGTTCCAAATCCATTCGTGTTCCAAGCAGTCCAATGTTCTTTCAATGGTTCTACACACCGTAGTGATAATAAAATACTGAAGTATCTTGGGTGTTTTCCGCCTTTATTGCCGTGGAGTGGTGCAGTTGTAAGGCCATACGATGCCTTTATTTGGAAAAAAAGATTTCGGTAGGAAATCTAAAAAGGATGCAAAGGAATCAGAAAAACAGCCTTCCATCGAGGACAAATACGTGGTAAAAGACCTTTTAGGCACCGGCGCCTTTTCTGAGGTAAGGCTAATAGAGAGCAAAGAAAATGGACAGCTGTTTGCTTGCAAAATTATTGACAAGAAAGCGCTTAAAGGCAAAGAAGACTCGTTAGAGAATGAAATACGAGTTTTGAAACGATTTAGTGAGAACGCTAAAGGCGAGGGAGCCGAAAAGAAAATGTTTTCGCATCCCAACATTGTCCAGCTGCTTGAAACATACGAGGACAAAAGCAAAGTCTATTTAGTTATGGAACTCGTAACAGGTGGCGAACTGTTCGATAGAATCGTTGAGAAGGGGTCATACACTGAAAAAGATGCGTCCAATCTTATAAGACAAGTCCTGGAGGCTGTGGATTATATGCACTCCCAGGGTGTGGTGCATAGAGATCTGAAGCCTGAAAATTTGCTGTACTACAGTTCAGATGAAGACAGCAAGATAATGATTAGTGATTTTGGGCTATCCAAAATAGAGGATTCTGGTATAATGGCAACAGCCTGTGGAACACCAGGCTATGTTGCTCCTGAAGTGCTAGCACAGAAACCATATGGAAAAGCAGTTGATGTTTGGAGCATAGGTGTCATTTCATATATTTTACTCTGTGGTTACCCACCATTCTATGATGAGCAGGATTCAAACCTCTTTGCGCAGATTCTCAAAGGTGACTTTGAATTTGATTCGCCCTACTGGGATGATATAAGCGAATCAGCTAAAGATTTTATAAGACACCTGATGTGTGTTGATGTTGAGAAGAGATACACTTGCAAGTGAGTTTTTTATATTACAAGAAGTTTATTTTTATGTTTTGTAATTGTTAACTGCTCAAATTTTGTAAGAATAGTTAAAGACAACATAAAACTTTTTTTTACTTTGTTTATGTTTATGTATCTGAAAATGTTTTACTTACTAATTTGATGAGCTAATATTTTCAAGATAACTGAATAATAACTCAAACGCATTCATGATTCATGTATAAAAAATATGTTGTTACAAAACTTGTTTATAATTACAAGCATTTGTAATATGTGCTCAAAAATAGAATAGCTTTTCCTGTTTACTTCTTAGAGTTCTTTAAATTGTCTTAAAACTTGACATTTTGTGGATATTCTTCTAAGGTGTTTGAACGCGATAATTTCTGAAAGTACCTGTTGGAATTAAAAAAATCTTTTTGTGTTGGGTAGAGGAATGCTATAGGCTAAAAAATTCAATTACCTAATATTTTTTTTAATTATCTGTATTTTTCATTTGTCATATGGTGAACAGCTTGCAACTAGCTTATATTTATATTGCAGGCAAGCTCTCGCCCATCCTTGGATCTGTGGTAATGAAGCCAGCAGCAAGAACATACATGGCACTGTATCAGAGCAACTCAAGAAGAACTTTGCTAAATCTCGCTGGAAACAAGCTTACCATGCCACCACTGTCATTCGTCAAATGCAGAAACTAATGATTCTTAACAGCAGTAGCTCGAGCCGCAGCACAAATGCCGCCAGCAAATCTCAAAATCAGCAGCAATAATCATCTTGACAACATCAATGCAAATAAGGTACTTATCTGACTGAGACCCATAATTTTAATTCTCGGCTGTAAGCATCAGAAAATATCTATCTGCTTAAGATATATATTTACTAAAATAATAAATTTTATTAACTTAAATAAACTGTTGTGGGTCTCGGCTATTACTAAAATTAGTCACAAATAACAAACTTTTTTTGAATAGGATCTGAGGTGTAAGGTAAATGTTTGCTGCTGTCAAGTAATTGAGGCACTCTATGACATCATTTCAAATTTTAAGCCAATGATGCTGAATAAATCAACGAAGTGTTTATTGATACATTTGTTAATTGACTAGTCAGTATACTCTGGATTTATGCAAAAAGTAATATTTTTCTCAATGCCAATTTTTTTATATTACGACATTATAATAATATGACATTCTACATAATGTTAGAATCTCATGCTTTAACGTCACTTAATTGATGAAGTCCATGCGAGTGCTTTACATATAAATTGTAATGGTAGTTATGTCATGTATTAAAAAAATACTATTATACTGATTAAAAGTAGTTCGTCTTCTCTTTAGCGTTCTGACCTTGTTGAAATAAATAATAATTTGGTGATAATTGATGTCTGTATTTAGCCTTGTTGCGGATGTTGTTAATGTAAAATTGTTAAGAAATGGATGTATGACGAGTAAAGTTTACTTATTCTTTTTGAAGGTGCTTCAGAAAGAACAAAATAGAAAATGTGACAAGAGTGATGTGAAAACCTTATAGTCACTGCTAGATTGCCATAAAGAGTGTTGAAGCATTTAACTGGAGTTACATTACTCCCCTTCCATAGCTCTTTCTGAAACATCTGTTGAGTACTTATGATTTAAAATTAAGAAAAAGGTACACTTGACACAACAAAACAGTATGAAACACAAATTTGATATGCAATATTGTTATGAACTTGCATGAAATTGAATGTTAACTGTGTATGCGTTAAGCTCTATAATATTATTATAGTCCTATGACATATATTATAGCCGTTTAAAAGATATATTATGCTTAATATAGATGTAAGTTTTACTATTCTAAAACTGAATCCTTCCTATCTCTAGAGAAGATTAATACGAGTTTTCAAAACATAATATATTCTATTTAAACATATTGCACTGTTACTTCAATGTTGTCTTAACTCTTCTATAACTATAATTATGCATAAACTTTCTAACTATATGCTGGGCCTAAAGAACTTATGCAAATCACAAAGAGGAAGGACATGTCAGTAGTCAAAGTATATTTAAAATATCTTTCTAAGACTGAATATAAATCTGTATTTGTTTGAAAATTTATAACATAATCTATTCATATTGATTAAAAATAAAACTAGAATGTTGAAACGAGAATAATCTAGATTGGTCTGCTATTAACAATGTGATCAGAGTTGTGATAATCATTAACTATTACTAATGTCGAAGCATTTTCCCAATTGTTTACGATAGATGACAGCTAGCACCCCTACCGCTTACATGATTTCAGTAGAGATGACTCGGTAGTCGTAGATGTGGACCTAATTTTAATGCCTTCCTTTTGACAAGGGTTCATAGCTCTCTGACGTTTTTGGTCCATGACAGTACAGATCTTATCGAATATGTCGATCATATCACGAATCTCATTTCCCACAGCATATCAATAGTTCGATAGCATAAAATATTATTTCATGTTGAAATTGTCGAATTTTAATTAGCTTTTAACGAATATTATTTTTTAGATGAAGCCGAGCACAGTTTAAACGGAGTATTTGTTTTTCGACTTCAATTAGAAATTACATTCCTCGTGAAACTTATCGGTATTTTAAAGAAACATTCCATGACTTAAATTATATAAACACGTATATGATTTTAATGCGTTTTTCGTAGCCTGCGTGGTCAAAATATAATGTTCATCACTCTATATATTTCTAACATAATAAAATAGGTAAAGAACCTTTTTTAAGTTAAACGGTTTTATGTTTAACATAAAACCGTTTTTATTGTTCTAGTTTTTTAGTTTTTATTTCGCATTCTGTTTAATTCATTTAGTGTTTGTTTTGGTACAATGTCAAATATGAAAGATTTCATTTAATACCCATATTGATGGGATTAATAAAACTTACGTTATCCGCCATTTTGTAGCGGCCGCCATTTTTTATTTATAATGATAATGAATAAACATAATTGTATTGTCACCAAAATCCAAAGTGTATACAAAATTTCAGATTAATCGGTTGACAGGAAGAGGGTGAAATTTGAATTACAAAATTTGACCCAAAAATAAATAATAAAACAAACGGGGTGAGCTAAATAAACCCGTTTAAAAATACCTTACTCTGTGCCATCAATGAAATTAAAAGCCATATTATACAATTATATTTATAAATACTATTTTAATAATTATTGTTTACTTCATTGAAAACGTCAGTTTTCACACTGAAATTATTTCTTTCTTATTTCAAATTTGTGCATTTTAAACCCATAATTATACACTATATTTTTCTATTTCTATTTTCTACCCTTTTTTATGTTTTTATATAAATTTTATTTGACTGTTGAAATCGCTATCATAATATTTGAGATTGAACGTCATTAAATGATGCCGTTTTAACTAAGTTGTTTATGTATTAACGTCTATAATAAGTTATATGAGGATAACCTTTAACCCTGTTATTATAATAGTTTTGTAAGAAACTTATTGGCGATGTATGTAACTACGTAATTTTCATTCGATTCCTCTATTTTCATTCAGATCTATAACCGGATTTCTATATCATAATTATTTTACACGTGGTATAGATGTAAAATTTATTTTCTGTTGTAAAAAGCTTGACACGGGTGGCCTCAAACCCAGAACCATGGTGTTCCGTGCTGTGGCTCGAGCTACCATGTTCAAAACATGCAATGTGTCATCAGTCTAAAGTGAGAAATAAATCAATTTGTTAATGTAGTTTCAAAGCACATTGTTGCATTATAAATGTGTATACGTTGGAAGTCGTTAGATCTGGGCTGAAAATAAGGTACTTATTGAGTAAAATAATTATTATTATCATTAGCTTATGCTTATGTATGTGTAATATTTAATTCATAGACATAAGTACTCGCCTTACGTGTAACTTATCTGTTTTCAGTGTTAATTAATAATAGCTTGTATAATTGTAACGAGCATTTGTATGTCTGGGTGCCCATAGTGAAGCTATCTACGAGTTGCGCACAAAAATTAAATGTCAAATCAAAGGTTATTCGTCAAAATCCCTATAAAATAGTCCAATGTTATGCACCCAGGACAACTTAGTGTTTTTAAGGAAATAGTTTGCTCTCTTGACACCATAACATGGCCACGGAAAGCTCGTCGATGCGAACGAGTGAAAGAAGCGTATAGCGATCAAACAATAAGCATAGATCAATAAGGAGACAGCCAAGGAGTCGCCCGAATGTTCGCTCCGCTTATCGCCGTTCGCACCGCCGATCTTCAAAGCCTGGCAATACGTTACTTTTGATTGTGCCAAATTCATGCCATGTCAGTGATAAATAGTTATTCATTTAATGTTACGCTACGAGAATTGTATGAAAGTAAGCCTCTTTACTATCGAAGTATAATAATAAAGGCTACTTTGAATAATAATAGTTTATATAATATTATGTCCAAGTTCCTTCAGATAAAATGGATTTGGTTTATATTGTATGTAATGAAGATATTCATATTTTTTGAAGACTATTGTGTTCAAAACGTAACACTTTATTTTGCACAATAGACGGTAGAATTGAAATATTTAAACACGACAAGTTTGATTTTAAGATCCAGAATGACCTTCGCTGTATTTGCTTATGTAATTTTCCAAGACTCTTGACTATGCAATATGCCATATATGTAAATTTCTCTATATATGACGAACGCGGCAAAAAAGACCGGCTATTTTTAGTTTACACTCGGAAAAATACATGAGCTTTTAAATTAAATTCTTAATCTTTTCATCCTATGTCTAAAGAAGGATTACTCTGCATCCTCTAGAACAATCTTTGTCCCTAAAACTGTTTGACAACGGATAGCAATGTGAAGTTTGCGTATCGTCGGTAAAAATCTGATTGTAGTTATCTTGTGATTTAGATTTTATACTTCTTGTTCTGAACAATCAAAATTTATTAGTAGATATTAGATGTTAGCTATTTTCAACGTCAATGTAAATAAAATGCCAACTTGTTGAAACGACTTTTTTATTTACCTTAGGTACTCCATATCCATGACATATTACCTATATATAAAAAGTATTGCATATAATTTCTATTTACATAAAATGACCAAATAAATAATGCCACTATGCTGTAAGATAATTTAATAATATAACAACAAATCTATTGACTTAAACTTATAAGTAAATATTATCAAGATTTTATTTATTATTTTCATAAATTATCTCTTTTTTTTCATAGCCATTTTTAGGAATGTTCACTGAAGTTCTTCACCCAGAAGTGATAATTGCTTCAGAAATTGTGAAGCATTAGGTAGTGTCGTTGATCCGTAAATTATTTTTCTCGTGACGCCGCTGGTTGCTTGTTGCTTTAAAGAAACAATAGGCGTTAACACTCGCACAGTATAAAACAAATATGAAATTTAAAGCACTTGAAATACATTTTAATTGGGTCTTTAGTATTAAGTAGTACTTGTTAGTATCAAAATTATGTTTATTTTATTATTAATCATACACAGTACACATACTACACCAGTGAACTTCCATCAGGAAATGGGGATAAATAAAGATACTCAGTCTTGACCAGAGTCAGTATTGTAGCTGTGGCAATTTGTTGATTTACACTTGTCAATTGATCCATAATGGTTCCTTCAATATTCCAACCACCGATTTAATTAATAAAAAGTTAATGTTAAATAATAATAAATAAACAATTAATAAATGATTATATAAATTCATACCTTAGCGAAATCAATAAGGTTATGATACTCGATGTAACTGCCGCCGCCGACTATAAACACAATGGCATCGTTGGGCGGGGCGTGGCGACTGGCCCGCGTACGCGCAGCTGCGTCCGTCCGCGTCGTTCTCGGATCGAGCCAAGTCAACTCAGTATCGCTCGCGCCGCTTAACGCTGCTTCCACTGTGCGGCTGACTGGCAGCTTCTAAATACAGATATCAAAAAGCTTTCGATTTCTATATTTAATTATTTATAGTTTTAACATCATATTATAAAACTTTGTTAAGTGATGTATTTTGAAGATATTTTTGCTTACTTTTGACAGTTCTCATATAAATTGAAACAGAATTTTAGAGGGACAAGAAGTCACTAAAAATGATATGTGTAAACCTTATCTTATTTTTGAATGATCTATCATAAGAAATTTACCAATATTAAATTAATACTTACCAATGTCCGGTTTATGGTGTTAATCACTTACGTGTTTCTTAACGACCAAATTCTTGACACCTTCCATAACGAACGAAGAACCCTGTGACACAAGCTTTGAGAACATAGAGACTGTTTTGGTCCCGCCCCCTTCGTACTGACTTGACATTTTTGTGAAGCTCCTAAAACACATCTTAATGTGAATACTAAACATAGTTCCATAAAGTTCTGCATAGTGATCGCCAAAAAGTAAGTGGGTCAATTTCTGTATCCGTTTTACTAAGTAACTTTATTTAAGTTAGAATTTGGGATTTAAGTTTAAATTACTTGTGAGAGATTGATCTCTATTGTCCAAATAAAAGTCTTGTCATTTTGAATCAAACATTGCTACTTAATAAATATTACTCACTTTAGTCGTTTCATATACGCCATAGACTGTATATCGCAGTTGGCAGCAACTAATGCACCCTCAAACTTCTTATACTCATCTTCGCTTATCTGCGACGTGCACAGATAATAAATGATGAATAGGCGCATCTTGTCTTCCGCCGTGCCAGCTTCTTCATCAGCTATTAGGTCTAGCACAGCTTTGCTCTCGACTGCGCTACTTTTGCTCATTATCTTCTCTTCCAATTCGAAGAATGAGTCAAGGCGGCGAGATTTTATGGCGTTTAGGATAGCTGCAATAAGAGGAAAACAATTAATCATTTCTAATTTCAAGATATATACATTGATTATTAAGTTGGAGGCGTAAGAAAATACATCTATACCTAATATTATAAAACTAAACCCGCTACACTTCAGGAACTTAAAAATTTGTTTTAGATCCATTTATGGAGGACGGCTTTAGGCTATATAACATCTAACAAACAAGCAATAGTGGAAAATATGAAAAAAAAGGGAAAACTATTCGTCTTTGAAGGCTTCCGTAACGTGTGCTGCAACAACGCTTCAAGAAACAAAAAAATTTAAGAAATATTTTGTTTGAAGATCTAAAAAAATGTCGCGACATATCTCTATTTTAAGATAAACTCGCAAGAACGAGGGGACGTGGACGATATCCAAGGTAACATCTATATTAATAAGTGAGGATTCAAAAAGAATAATATGATGCCCAAAATAACTTTTCTACCCGGCCAGGTCCCTGGCACAGCTAGCTCTAAATACGTATAGATAATACATAAAGTGTGTTTTCTCTCTGCGTTTTTTATTATCACATAAGATAAATTTGTTACATATAAAAGGATGGAGGAATTACGTATGCAGTCTCTCATCCACGCCAATGTTCGAGACGCAAATTAGTGACTTGATTCTAAATAACAAGTATATAGTAAAAAATATATAAATATAGTAATTCAAAAAAGGCCCTACCCGTTGCGATAGTAGTATGCATGTCAATGAGCCGTTTCTTCTCCATAAGCTGAGGCAGGGAGTTGACAGCGCTGGTCAACCTCTGAGTGTTATCACTCACTAGACTAAGAGCCAAATCGCTGTCTGCATCCAGACCCATGGAACTCTTTAGTTTTTTAACCTCTGCTTCAGAACTCCTGGTATAACACAAGTTTAATAAAACGAATTAAGAAAAACTCTTTCCAAAGAACTTATATGCCACAAGAGATTTTTAGTCTTACTATAGACCAAAAATAATGTTAAGCTAATTATTATATCTGTGGTACGAATCCAACGTCCATCTTCACCGCGATTAAAACAACTGTTGCAAGACACACTTACAAGCACATCTACAAATACATAAAGAATACAATTAAAACAATTTAATGAATTGTGCTCACAGGCATAATATTACGTCTATGAATGTGCTATTGAAAATGAGAGGTGACCTAAAGGTTGTGACATACCAAGTCATAAAAACTGGAAAACGTCGTTTCATACAGAAGTTGTATTATAATTTTAATAAAATGTTGTTAAGTTCTTACAAGTTAAAATTTCCTTTTATGTAATCTCTCTATAAACAACAGCATATACCTATATTTATCTAAGTCTTCTTGTATAGCTTCAGCCACGGTGGGAAAAGGACTGCTCTTATGTTCGTTCCATAAAGGATCTTTCGAGTCCAAATCGCACGTTCGCGTCTTTATCTTCTGCCCTGGTAATGCTGGTCCTGAATTTTCCGGTACGACTGCTCTAAAACAAAATAATAATAAAGACTTAATTACGACTTATTAAGACACTTAATTATATATAATCTAATTTATAGATTAGGATCCATTACTGTCGCTAGTGTATGCGAATAGTACACTATATAAAACACTTTTAACGATTATAAACGCGAAATATATTCGTCATTTTTTATTTTAATTTAACGTTTTGGATGCTTTGTAAAACCCGTGTGTTGTCAGGGGGGAGGGCTTCCCTAATTTTAAACTGCTACGCTAGCGCCATCTGTCTAGGACCACGACTGGTACAAGCCCCACAATCTTTAGCTGGTGTAGTCTCAACTCGTAAAAGGTTAATCCCAAAAACGGTAACTAATATATCAAAAATTCCCGTTGGTTAAGAGTCCCGTAGGTTAATATAATATATAATTATATCATGCAAAATAATCTGTGGTGTAAGTAGTACAGTCTATTATAACCTTCAAAAGTGTACAATATCACTGTAGCAAAGGCCAAATGGGATTTACAAGATTATGAACACAACTTAATTTAACATGTCAAGGTTGGTGAAACGTCAATAACCAATAGCTATCTATTATATAAAACTAATATAGTTGACACCCGTAATGCCAGCCTTGACTGAATCAATTCATTGAATCAAGAGCTGATTCCAGTTGAATACTTAAGCACGTTCAATTGTTATAAATCTGAAGATTACTTAATTGAATGTGCAAATCCCAGACTCTAACAAGTCAGTCGGAAAATAATATTAGCTTAGTAAGACAAGTTATTTAGCATCATACTGCGACCAAAAAAGCACCGTAAAAACAATGATGTACATATATTTTTTTAGAATTTGTGGACGAAAGAGAGGCCAGTAATTATTCAATTTTAAAATTACAAATTTAAATTTTCAATAGCATCTGTGAGTTAAGATTGGCAGCATATTATTGTGATATACGATCCAAGTTAAAGTAACCTATGAAATATTTGTGAGATAATCTTTACATTTTATACTAACATTCAATCATTCGATTGGTTAGAGCAGTAGCACAGAACGCTTTGGATGTCGGTTCAAGACCCGTATTTTTTTTTATGTAAAAAGATTTTTCCTTTAGGTTTTTAAAATATATTAGTGTTACCTTACTTGTATATTTACATAGTACTAAGTACCCAGTATGATTAACAAAAAACATTTAAAATATACCAACCTATTCAATGTTAAGTCCAGCACATCATGAGCCAAAGCCTGGTATGTCCAAGTATGATGTAGTGGTGTCGCCATATCAATATTTCTATCCAATAAAATTAACATAGGCCTACTAAAACTGAATGCACCTCCTTGCCCTGTGTTGCCATGGAACAAGTTATTCCTTGCATCCCAAAGGTTTTCCCTTAGCTTTTTATCTAGTTTCTTAGCAACCATTTCTGCTGCATTGCCTTTGCTACTTCTAATTATTGGTACAGTGCCTGAAAGAAATCCACACTTCGTTATAATATACTTTATACATGGATAAATAATAGATTATTTAAGATTGCAGATACTTACAAAAGTAAATAACTTAAGTAGCTTAATTTATTGTTCAAAAATGAAAACTACTATTTTTAAACTCTATAAAATTGAATTATAAATAAATTTATTTAGTAAAATTTTTTAAATGTTTATCTTTTTAAACTACTCCTATCCTAGCCTAACTCCTATCAAGAGTAGATAAACTTACCAAGTGTTACAAAAACTGAGAACAAACTCTCTACTATATCATCCATAATGGCTTCCATTTCAGTGTCCTTTGTATCACCTTTGTTGATGGCTAAAAAAGTACTAGTTTGAAGTATTTAAAAACATTTAAGTGTGACATTGACAATTTCTTGTTATTGTAAGTTTTTTTTTAATCACAAAATTTTTGATGTTTAATTACATATAAAGCATATATACTAAACAACAGTGATATATAATAAAAATATTAAAAAAAAAAAAAAAAAAAAAAAAAAAAAAAAAAAAAGGGGAAAAAAAAAAAAAAAAAAAAAAAAAAAAAAAAAAAAAAAAAAAAAAAAAAAAAAAAAAAGGGGGGAGAAAAAAAAAAAAAAAAAAAAAAAAAAAAGCAACCCCCCCCGGGGAAAAAGAAAAAAAGGGGGGAAAAAAAAGAATTTTCACAGACCAACGGATCTTTGGTTATGCTGTCATATATACTATATAAAGCAAAAAAGACAAAATATAGGTTGCAGCTGTGGCTTGGAAGGTTCAGAGTATATTTACTAAAATTCATAGATTCTCATATCTCACTTCTATTTTTTTGTTTATTTGGAACAGATATATTGGGTGGGTAATTGGTAAGCAGTGCACATAATTACAGACCATTACAATAATTTTCTAATGTCTCACTTATATACATACCAAGGCCAATTTTATTGCCTTATCAACTGCACATAATTCAATCAATTTCAACTTGTATTGGGTTAACAAATTAAAAATGTCAAAGACAAAGACATATTTATTGTGTGCCTAAAATAATATCACACTTGGCCTATTAAATTGACTTTACTATATACTACTGTATGTTAAATATTGTCTGTAGTTAGGCAAGTAGTACACATTTAAATAAAACACTTTAACGGTTTAAACGCGAATATATTACTTAAACTCAACTACAGTAGGATGTTTTGGATACTTTAGAAATTAACAAACAGTTTAACTACTATATTTTGTGTTTCAAACAGTTAAAGTGTTTCATTTAAAGGATCTTATTTAGGAAAATGCTTAATTCCTTACCATAGTAGGATAAAGAATCAGATTGCTGATGCTTCATAATGAACAGATCATCTTCTAAACAAATGAAATTCAAATATTGGTCATATAACTTGTGTATGCTCATAACTGAATTAGACTGAATGGCAGAAGCAGCCAGATCTTCTAATTTTTGTCTTGTTATGGGAGATATAAAGTTCAAATGGTATTGGTCATAGACACCATTATCTAAGTCCTGGCAAATCCTTCCAAGATTCTCTTCTGATGGTGCACAGAAGTAGACGGCAGGCACTTCAGGTATCTGATCCCGATCTGAGTGTAGTTGTCTGAAATTATAGATGACAATATATTTTCTATGTCACTAATATTATCTAGAAGTTGATGGTCAATATAGATCTTTGTGATAGATAACCATAAGTATGGTATATCTATGTATAAAGTTTTCATCTACAGTTATACACTAAACATAATTTCAGAGAAACAAATCTCATTTATTCCAGTCCATTTAAAATAAGATTTGTATGACTGATTTAACCGTAAAACTTAACTTAAATAATTTGTCAATAGTTAAGTGACTTACACATGTAGTGTAACTCCCAATTCTCGAAGTTCCTTTATAGATATTAGGGGTGAAATGATATCTTGTCCCACTCTGTCATACACAAGTACTTTCCATACAGGTTCATTGGCAACAGCTTTAGTCAGTGGTTCATTTAAATTTAACATTTGCTTTAGAGCATCTGAAAAAATAATGGATTGATTTTAATTGATGAATTAATCATTCTGTATATGCCTGCTTTATTATTTTATATATAAAGATAAAGTAATTTACAGTTTATAAGGTACATGTTTACAGAACCAGAAATACTCGTATAAAATCGTGAATATTGGTAAAAGATTTTTCTAATTGAAACTTACTGAGTTGTCGTTCGCGTAGAGTAGTCATGATGTAGTGCTATATCAGTTTCATACATTAACTATTTTTATAACACAATATGAATTATTTTATTAATCTAAGCTATTTATTAAGCCGATATTATGATATATTTAATTCATAATTAAATCTCGGAGAACTTAATCAGCCAACAACACAAATCTCAAGCTAACTGTCAACTGTCAAATTGTTAATAGTTAACTGCCAAACGCTAACACGTCATTAATGTTTCTTATCGGGAAAGCGGGACCGAAAGAAGAAGAAGAAATGTTTTTATCTTGTATCTGAAAAGAAATGTATTGTCAATTTTTTATATATTTTCTGTAGAAAGTTTTATAAAAGCAGAGGTATTATTATCTTCTAACATTATTAATAAACAGAATATATTTTACTGCCATCTGCAGTGGAACTGTGTAAGTACTGTAAATGTTACGGACCTCGTTGTTACAGATAGAAATAATATTTCAGAACAATACAATTAGGTCCTAATTTTTTGAATAGGTGTCACTAAATCCAATTAATTTAAGAACTACGTTAGATAAATTTTGGCCTTATTTCTAATAAAAATAATATATATTCCATATTATATTATATATCATATGAGAATTGTTTATTATGTAAAGTTAGATGTTGAAACAAATATTATTACATTTTGTAGTGACATAAGGAAAAATATCAATCTTACGTGTTACGATTTAATAGCAGTGTGGGTAGGTGAAAAAAAGTTGACCGAAATCGTTTGTTGATCAATTGTTATGAAAAAAATTTACAATACTTATAGTCACTTAACAGCGCGAGCCGCATGGACGTGATCATGATATATGTAGTAGTCTAGACTTCAAGACATCAGTGATCTTTAGAAGGTGAAAGCCGGTATAAACTAGCTAGTGGACGTATTGTGGAGGTGGCTGTGATTCATTTTGCAGCTCAACTCAGGCCTGCCAGTGTCCGCGCAGTGGTGAAAGGTGCCATGTCGCCACTAAAAGTGTACCTGGTTCGGACGATGGCAACGCTCATACGATTATTTATTTTGTGTGCCATTCTAGTTAACGGTTAGTTATGTGATTAATTTAAGATTCGAATGCGGAAATAACGTATTTGTTATTACCGGTGATGTTTAATTACTTGTTTACGCGGTCTTATTATGCAAGTGTTTCAATGTAGGCAGCATTTTAGTGGTTCTTTTCAACAGCACCTATTAGTAACGTAACTGTTCCAGTGAATGTGCGGTGAAAGCTATTCAAAAGTTCCATTCGCATGCCTATATGTGATAAGTGCTTTGATAATTGCGCAAATTCAGTTTTGCAAAAGGCTGACACCGTCATTTATCGAAAGATGTTATTCAATCTATTATCGGCTGCCAATTACGTTACATCGGGTTTAATTGCATTAGAAAGTGGTTGTTACTTCGTCTAACATCCCTACGAGGATACGAGCTCTTACTTAAGACAAATTGAGCACGTCCTTTCTTTCACTTGACATTGAGACATGACCGGTTATGAACGAGAATATATTTTGACATTATCGATTCTTACGTAAATTATAAATATGTAGATTTCCTATTTGCTTCGAATCTATTGACGATTGACGAACAATAGCAATAAAAGGTCTCTGCTATTGTATGAAATAACCTTTGTAAGCGTATTTTCTTGACCCTCAGCAGTATCGAGAAATGATAAGCTTTTGATGCGAAAGTATTTGCGTCCGTTCGGAATTACGAACGCTTGAGTTATTCTACGTTTATGTTTATTTTAACGTGTATAGGCAGGTACTTTGACAGGTTTATTGAACGAGTTGGTTGCACACACGTATTTTAATGATTCGCGACCACGAGACCTCGTTGCATTTGCTAAATTACATATCTCTACTACGTACTTCGTTATGTTTGACGCGAGAGCCTTCTCTTGTGTGTGGGTGACATATTGTTTTTTCCATTCGGGTCATTTTGCAATCCATTGCTAAAGTTCGACTTCCGTGGAAGATTCCTAGTTCTTGTTTACCGTTTTGTAAACTTTGAGTCGACAGCATCGCTTTTATTTCTTTAGTGATAGTAAACATTTTAAATGTTTACCTGCCTTGTTTGGACGGAGAAAATCTTCTTAACATTTAGATCAAATAGAGTAAAGGACATATATAAATCGTTACAAAATGTAAAAACTGCAAACAAAATTCAGAACATAAATAATTCCGACGAGGCCATGCAATAAATAGTACATCAACCGACTTCAAAAAAAAAGTTCTGATTTTTTTTTGTTTCTTTGCGCATAACTTCGTCGTTTATAAATCTCGATGACACTTGAAAAGTTGACATTTATTTGAGTCCATTTTAAGGAAATCAGGTTGACAAGATCTACTTATTTCAATTACCCATTAGTGGTGCGTTTGTTCGTTTTTTCATTACGTACTTTCAAGCACTACAATTTATATAAAGGTTTAAACTACAAATCTGATGATGGAGCCGAGGGACAGTAAAGAGAGACGTTCATGTAGATTCTATAAGCATCGTCTACTCGTCACGTAGAAATGTTTTCGTCTTTTAAGTGCAAACATTAAATATATATTAGGTGTTTGAGAATATAATACGGTTCCTGTACCTGAGGAATAGATTATAATTACATATAATGTCAACGTCTTTTTAAAACACTATTGATAGTCTATATAATATATTAAAAATTACATCACGTACTAATCATACTTAACAGTAACATAATGTTATTTATAATATAAATCCTTTAAACATGTTAGTCCTACTTATATACCAAAGTTATAGTGTGGTTAGTATTCGTTTTAACTTGTAAATGTATTTTTGTATATATTTAGTTTTTCTAAGCCGACTAGAATCAAATTTGGTGCGCCTTAAATACCGGGCAGAAGCTATTTCTTCGCATGCCTTCGCTAGTCACATGGATATAAATTCGTGTATAGATTTATATTTAAAATGTATTTACTTCCAAGTTAAATTTGTATTTGCAATAATGATAATGATGAATTTAGTTAGTAATGATGAGTTTAGTATTTCTATACTTGTAACAATATTGAGCGGGAAGTTCTGAATTAATTTGGTTAGCCGCTAAATTGTCTAGTTATGTAAAGTATTGTAAATTCAACAGCTTTGTAGCATTGTTGCGTGTTGAAATATTATTTACTCTCGAATTTACTATAGATTGCTTTAAATGCGTAGTTCTATATAAAACATGTTCAGTATTTGTGATTTATGTCTCTTTGAGGGTTGTGTGAAATGTCTGTGGTTCAGTTTGAATTTATAATAAGGAATAAATACATTTTTCGAGATACGGTGAAACTGTCTTATGATTAAATTTGATTGAAAGTTCGAACTCCGTAATTCTTATTTCGTTATTCTTTATCGAATTTTTTTTTCGATTGTATTAACATATAAAGTCAAATTAATTATTTTCCTGTAAATAAAAACTATTCCTATATACCTGTCCATTGTTATGTGCTAATAATAGTCAATGCTATTACAGTTCAATGCCAAAAAGAGAAGGAGGCGGAATTCGTCTGTCCGGAGGGTACGCAAGGTAATGGAAATTTCGCAGACCCCGCAACTTGTAGGAGATTTTATCAAGTAAGAATTTTTCTAATAAGAACTAAGAATTAAAACGTTATTTCCGTAACGTAAGGAAAATAGAGCGATTCGAACAATTCTATTATTTTTATATACTTACCAATTTCATATGTTCGTAGTTATTACGATATATATTATCTATACTCTATACTAATATATAAAGGTGAACAGTTTGTTTGTTTCAACGCGCTAATCTCAGGAACTATTGATTCGAATTGAAAAATTATTTTTGTGTTGGTTAGAGCATATATCGAGGAAGGTTACATGCTATAGGGTGTTACTAAGAAGATAGAATGAACTGCGGAAAACGTGAAAAAAATGGGGAAAAATTCCTGATACGTACACTGTACAAACGGTTCAAGATACCCAAACAAATATTATGTTGCAAGAACGACGGGGCGCGAGTGGACGTCGCGCGTAGACGTTTATTAAATGCAAATGCAACATCAAATTTTGATGCGTAAATAACTATTTCCGCAGACAAAGTCGCTAGCAAAGCTAGTGTAGCATACAACGCGGAAGAAGACTTTATCTAATTATGTATTTGCTATTCATAGTTTAACAAGTTATTTACAAGCAATAAAAGTCTGTAAATCTGACATTTTAATCAAATAAAAACTGGTTATTGAAACTGGACTCTTTATTAACATAACATATATATATTTAATGCCGTGTTTATATTAAATATGTTGTATTAAAAACAAGCCTAGACCGTCGAAGGACACAGCTATGTCGTCTTATATTTTACATGACGTTTTATGTTATTTTGTATTTAAATTATTAAACTAGCTTTGCCAGCGACTTCGTTCGCGAGAATTGTTATTTTGGGCATCCAAATTAGTTTTTGCAAACCACGTGATATTTATAAACTTATGCTGTTAGTCACGACCGCGTCCCTTCCCGTCGTTCTTGCAATTTATAATGTCTTCGCGATTTTTTTTAGATAATTTATAGAGAAATCATTCTTTCATATAAATTTTTTAGGTATCTTGAACCGTTTTCGCAGCGTACGCATCTGAATCCCACAGAGATGAAAAATTTCCCCCGTTTTGTTCACATTTCCGCTGTATGTTCGCTTCTCATATCATAATTTTTCAATTCGAACCCGTAGTTCCTGAGATTAGCGCGTTCAAACAAACAAACACTTCAGCTTTATATATTAGTATAGATTTAAATACAACACTTTAACGGTTTAAAACGCAAAATATATGGTCACCCGGAACTCATTGTGACCACGGCTGCTGCAAAGCGTCCGAAGCGTCATTAAAAATGATTAGTAAACAAGTTTAACTAATATATTTCGCGTTTTAAACGGTTAACGTGTTTTTATTATGTTATTAACCGCGTGATAGGTAATTATTTACATTATCTCATGCTTTTAAATATAATTTGCATACCACTAATTGTAGAGGGAATTATGTGTAATCTGAAAAATGGTATTGTTCGTAAAAAAAACAATAAAAGACTATGCTTTTCTGCATAAAGCCTTAATATTTTTTTCATTAAAAGCAGATATAGCTTATATTTAAACTAAGTTTTTCAGACATATTTATGCATTAAATTCTTAGTAGTATAACTCCGTTTGTCGTGTAAAGAATGAGTAAGATATTTTTAAATATTTATGGTAATTTTCGTGGGTAAACATTACTTTTAAATTCAACAAACATAATATCCGGGAAGCATTGCATTTATAATACGTTGACAAACATGGTTGCGCATGCACCTATCGATAAACATTGTTCCATCTTTGTCTTAAGTATAGAGAATCGTAAAGTTTTAATATAAAAATAGTATAACAACATAAGTTTCTATTTGTTTATTGTTTCTACTAAATTGTAAAATACTACCATGGTATTTAATTAATGTAAAATTTTACCGAATTACACAAGTAACTATATATTATAAAGTATGCGGGACTTTACCACGATGTGTACAGGCAGACACAAAAATGAGTCTCTTTCATTGATCTGTTCTATATAAAGACAAGAAGACTAGACAACTTTATGTTCCCGACTGACTGATTCAGGTGTATAGTGTGGAATCTCATTTTCCCTGGTGGGGCATGGGCTACACTAATCGGTTTTATTTACAAGTAGTCGATCGGACTTCTGTGCCCTGTCGACCAGAACAAACTATTGTTTTACCGGGATTCGAACCCCGGACCTCTAATACGCTTAAACAAATGCTAGGCAACAACTGTTTAGCTATAGAGGAGGCGTGCCGCGAACCTAGCTTGTGTCTAGATATTACAAAGACGGTCATATTATTTCAAAAGACATTTATCATATTATCTTTTATTATTTTAATAATTATTTGTTTTAGTGTGTGGATGGATATCCATATTTGAATAGATGTCCTTCTGGGCTCTACTTCGATGACATTAGTAAATATTGCACTTTTAAGGACGAAGCTCGATGCGGACCCATTGCAACTAGTAAGTATATTTCATGTTAATTACATCGCATCTCAACTTCTTATTCTCTCCCCCTCTCGTATTAAGGTTTAAAGACCCACCACACTACTCCAGTGTGAGTTATCTTTAACTCTCTGAGACCGCCGGATGTTGAACTTTGAGCTTGTAGTAAAATTAGCTTAGTATTTACTAAAATTTTAGCCTGACCCGGAACACGAACCCTGGGCCACGTGATCGGCAGTCGAGTGTAATTACCACCAGACCAACGAGGAAGTTTTTTTATCAATTATTTATTTAGTTGAAAAACAAACAAAATATTAAAAGGTAGATCACAAATCCATCCGCGTTTTCTGTCTATCCGAGTGGTCGATACAGAACATAAAATAATATAAGATGATACATATAAAAACGTATATACTATAACTTAATTATCTTATTACTCTTAAAATACCGATACAATATTGAAGACGACGTTTGTCACTCGTTTTTAACATAAATTAGGACTTATATTCTGCACACGGATTAAGGGGATTAGGGGGAGTTTGATAACCCAAAAATGGGAGATGGGGAAGTAAGTGAAATGGTCAGCTGATGGTGTGGATTGATCACCCGGCATGCTATAGGTGTCCCCGATAGATAATAATAATAATAAAGACATATCGACGTAGATTGAGTACTTATACATTTGTTATCCGATCTGCTACTAGATGGCGCTACGCGACAACTAGGTTATTGTTAGATCGCGCTAACTAAACATTTTTTTGTAAACAACATACTGATAACAAATTTTTCTTAATCAAAATCTCTTTTTTTTTTTTTTAAAAAATCTCCATTAAATTCCATACTAATGGAAAATAATGTTTTTATTACTAATGTGACTATAATTGAAATACGTCACTGGTTTGTACAGTACGAAAGTTTTTATATCAGCAAAGCATCGGAGCGAGGCGGGGCGGGTCGCTAGTGTTTCCTAAAAATCAAATTGGTAATTTGATAGCGCAAAGGATATTCATATGGCCTCAAATTGCATTTTGACAGAGCAACACACGATTCGATGCGCTCGCAACTTCGCGTCGTCAAACATAAAATAGTATAGTCTGTAGATCTCATGAATAATCAAGTCATGTATATAATATGGAATAGCAGATGCATCACCCGCTCATATTCCTCTGTAAGCAAGGAAGTGAAACTGCCGAGATGGCACGAATACCAAACACAAGAGAAATACGCCGCCTCCGAGCTTTGTTTAACTATTCGTACATACAGCATCAAACATTCATCTCCATATGTACAGGCAGCGCTCTTGAATTAAATATCGGTGTAACTTTCCGAGTCATTCGTCAGATCAGTATAAATGGACGCTATTAAACTATCAATATTGAACATTCGGCGATTGAACGTGTTGCGAAATTATTTATACGCGAACGGCCTTTAAAAATATCGAACTGCTTCAAGTTGTTCATAAGTTGAGTGGTCTCTACGATATTTTAAGACGGGGGAGCAAACTGATATAGGAACAATTTAGAACGATTAGCAAATTATCATGATTATGAGATTCAACACTATTTTATATAATCGTGATTGTTGTACGAATTTATACAGTGCACATAATCTTATTTCACTATAACATGAAATTAAACCCTTGGTGCTATATAAATTAAACATTGAATCGAACAAAATCGACCCGGGCAGAACTTGAACCGGCATTGTCAGCGTTCCGCGCTGTTGCTCTAACAAATCGAGCTACCGAGTTCCACGACGATGCCGGTTCAAGTCCTGCCCGAAATGAAAATTTGTTGTACACATTTTATACTAAATGGATATAAAATTAATTGAGAATTTCGTGTTAAAATCATTTTTTTTTGTTTTTATTGCATATGATAGCATTGTATAAATGAAAAATAGATTTTTGTTTTAAAAGTAATTACGACACGGCATACACTTGTAGCGGCGTCCACAGCGTTCCGTGCTTTGCTATTCTCTAATTAATTCAACATCGATTGTAATATCTTATTTCAGTGTCTACAGTAAGTTAATTATACAATAGTATATTAATTTCCACAGAAAATAGAGAACAAATACATATTTTTTTATTATAAGTCACTAAAATAGGTTGTCTTCAGTTCTTCTCAGTCGTTTAGACCCTACATCTAGCTGACAACGCGACGGTCAGGTTTAAATGGCTGAAAACGCAATAAAACACTGGTTTTTACTTTCCCAGCACCGGCACCTATAACCGAAGCACCAACAGACCTCGCAACGCGATGCGACACAGCAGAATGCCAACTGCCATACTGCTTCTGTTCCAAGGACGGCACGATCATTCCAGGTGGTTTGGACCCAGAGGATGTAAGATTTGCTTATATTTTAGTGTTTATATTGGACTAGATCTGCATCTTGATCTGGTCCTTTGTAGCAAAATGCAAGGCGAAGTTAGCGCTGTATCAGAAGGGACTGTTCTTTATTTGTAAAATAGAATTATTCCTTGCTAGACATTTCTTTTCTGGGTCAAAATAATTCGTTGCAATAGGCAAGATGCATATTTGTACAGTTAAAATAGATATGAGGCTGCTAAAGTCAGATTGGCCTAATAAAAAAAAAATTCAGTCACTGTGTAGTTAGGCTACTCTGCCTCTAGCGGCCTCATATTATATTAATGATATGCCATGTAATCTTAAGTATTTTATTAAAGCGCTTCTCGGCTAGTTACTAACTAGAATGAGTCTCGTCCAACTAACCAGAAGTTCATATGATTATTAAAAGGAAACCGCTATCCCTAATGGGTAATGCCCACAAAAGCTTCCCTTCTAATATTTTAATAACTATTTCCAGACGCCACAAATGATAATGTTAACATTTGACGGTGCGGTCAATTTGAATAATTTCGACTTATACAAGAAAGTTTTCAACGGAAAGTTGCGCAATCCGAACGGTTGCCCGATCCGGGGCACTTTCTTCTTATCTCACGAATACAGGTTAGTTCCAAACCGTATTTTAATAACACTTTGCGTGCACTATTATAACAGATGGAGCCATTTGGCACAACTATGGAAAGGGTAACAAGACGAGGATTAAATACTGTCTATAGTTTACGCGAGTAGTACGCATTTAAATAAAACACTTTAACGGTTTAAAACACGATATAATAGTTGAACTTATTTGGAAAATGATTTAAATGTCTCGCCGTGACTACGGCATGCAAAGCATCCGAAACGTCGGGCCGAAGTTGAAAATAATTTTTAAATAAGTTTAACTAATATATCACGTTTTATACCGTTAAAGTGTTTTATTTAATAGACGAGGATTCTTTGAACTTGTTATAATAAAACGGGCTAATATTACTAATAAACTATGCAAGCAATGTACGGCTTATAATCAACGGGTTTAATAATAATAAACTCTTTATTGCACAAACATAGACATACATAGAATTATATATACAAAATAAAACATGTTTGTGCAAAGGCGGCCTTATCGCCTATGGCGATTTCTTCCAGGAAACCTTAGCATGTAGAAACAAGAAACGAGTTTTGGGTTCCATCTCCGCGTCCAACATGTTTTATATCTATTTATATTTTTTCTGAAAACATGATGGACTTCGTCTGTAATCTGAATATTAAATGGTAAAAACTATGAAATTAATTTTACGTAAAATAATTACGACGACGGCTTATTCCATTTAGGTACGTGAAGGGACGCTCAGCTTTTGCTGTACAAAGCTAAGTCTAAGCATTGCGCCGGTTTTTGTGATGTCCCAGTGACATTTGGGACGAGAAAGGACAGCTATATTGCAGTATATACAGATTATATATTTTTTAAATGTTATTATATTATAGAGTATGAACGGTAGTAAGATCCCATTAATGAGAGCTATTGGACAATTCATTACATAGTAATTTAAATAAATTCCCAACGAAATTCTACCACACGAAAAATGAACAAAATTCGAATTGTAAGTACAAACAACTAGAAATGCATTTGTAGTGAAGCTGATCCTGGAGAAAATTCATTGTAACTTTTGTGAATGCGTTACTGTAATGTAAAATGTGTATTTTTTTCTAACATCTCAACAATCCATTTACTACAAACAACCTTATCACTCAACATCACGCACTCTGGCGTTTTTGTTTCCGACTATTCCAAAAATAGCTTTTAACATAATACCATTTCTATTGTCTAAAAGTGCTTGGGATCCTTTGTGAGAATACGCGTAACGTAATCGAATAAGAATGTTCGGTAGGGATGGGCCAAAACGGTTAAACCGAACTTCGGTTGAAATTACCGAAATTCCGTTTTGATCAATCGATTAATTTATTTACAACTCATTCTAAATTTACAAGGAAACCGTAATGCGATAAACATTTAATATACATACATATCTACTAAGAAATTAACTCTTGCATTCATTGCTATCACATCGCAAGGAAAAATTAATTTAATTGTTGTAAGCACATAATAGTTTATTGCCTTAATTAATTTCAACAATTTAGAAGACCATACACCATGCCTCTACACAAAACTTGCAAGTACTATTTTAAAACTTACATTGTGTTGTATTATAACAGGAAGACTTGTCAACTCAAGTCTCGCATAGATTAACTAACATTTTAGCAGCATAGTTAGGATTATAGATTTTAGCGGCGGGCTGCAACCATTTCCGCTGCTAAAATTATTAGTTCTCACAGGTACCGATAGCCTAACGCACCTCTTAATTCACGCGTAAAGTCTTAAGAGTAGTATTGTAATTCATAAAATAACATGAATAAAATTGACATCTTCAACACCGCATATTCCGAATAACTTTGGTTTGGTTACATTCATCCCATCACTATTGTTCAGTAACACGACACATAAGAGCCGTAAAATTGGTTTATCTGCAATGAAGCCGATTAGGCCTTCTTGACACCATTTGCGTCACGATCTTGTATCCGGAGTGCTCTTGTTTTACGTACGTCTGTTTTAGATAAGTCGCCAGACTCGTTAACCGAAACCGACTAAAAGTGGGATTCGAGTTTGCCTAATTTATCAATATGGTTTAAAATAATAATAAATGAGTATTTGATAATTCATCGTTACTTAGTTTAAATATTAGTTGTTCTATTCAAAACGATCGCCAGGCAATTTTTTAAATTTTAACACGTATGCCACCAAGTTAATAAATACAAGGGACTTAAGGAGAATATATAACATTGAAAAACGATACTGTCTGTAGCTTACGCGAGTACATATTAAAATAAAACACTTTAACGGTTTAAAACGCGATATATATTAGTTTAACTTATTTTAAAATTTTGAAAAATACTTTTTATTTATGTAAATTCTTCATGTCCGTAATTATGTTACAAGCGAATACATGTTTTCAGAGAAACGAATATACAATATTTCTAGTTGCAATCTAAACTAAATCGAATATAACAACATTATAAAACCCTTGGTCCGCTATGAAGTATCACATTCAAGATATAAATCAGCCAATTTTAGTAAATCAGCTGTACTTACATTGTTGGATAAACGACGCGAACTAAATTGGGATTTATTACGTCTGCAGAGTGAAAATATACTGTTTACGATACCATTCACATTCAAACTTAGTCCTGCTTTTACAATAACAATGTTTACTGTTAGCCTGCAAACAAATACTCGTAGACGAATTTTGTCACTCAAAGATGACTTAACAAAGTAATGTCTGTAGTTTACGTGAGTAGTACACACAACACATAGTACAATCTTATTTACATTTTAACCATGGCCTGACGTTACTGATGCTTTGCAGCAGTCATGGTCACGGGGAGGCCAAAGATGGAGGGTGTCCCTAACGTCAAACTAAAGAGTTCTTAAAGATATACATACATTGTCAGGAATATTTTTTTAGATTATTTCAAGTGGAATCATTCTATCGTAATTTTTTTTTGGTTCCAGAACCTTTTTTCTTTACTTTTTATTACCTCCTATTGGTCGCCGCATGATGTCCATGTACTATCTTCCTTGATAAATGGTCTGGCAAATTTCGAATAGTGATTCGAACCAATACTTAGTTCCTGAGATTAGCGAGTTCAAACAAACTATTCAGCTTTATAATATTAGTATAGATGTATGTTCCATATGTCTATTTTTCCCTTCACTGCAGTTAGCCCTTATACTTATATATTAACATGTAAAGGCTTTTGCCGTCTAAATCCCTGATTAGTCTTTAGTCTTTGTGTACGGAACGGCTTATTATTTTTTTCCTTTGTTCCAGTAATTATGCCATGGTTCAAAAGCTAGCTCATGATGGCCACGAAGTGAGTATAATGATTACCATAGAATCAAATTAAGCTCAAATTATGCAACAAAAATTAATTCGATTATAATCTAGAATGTAGTTGGGTAAATTTGAAATTGGAAACCACATAATTTAAACTAATTGAAACAATGAAAATTGTCATTTGTAAAAATTGCAAAATATAATCTTCATATCATTGTTTTTCGGTCTGTTCGGCCGACGTAAGAGTCAAGAGATTCACGATGTTTCGCCTCCATGAGCGGACGGCATCGTCAGAATCACAGGATCCGCTCGCGATGGCGAAACATCGTGAACCTCGTCGGCCGAACAGCCCGAAAAACAATGATATGCTGAACGATGGCCGTGAAGGCCTTACACAATTTATTATTCTATTTTTTTTTGTGTGAGTGCCAGTGTTTGTTTGTATAGTTCAAAAACTAGAAACGATATAAAAATTTCCCAAGAATTCTGAAAAGTAATGGCCACACCATCGTTCACAGATTGCGACAGGCACAATATCCCAACAGCAAGGCTTACAGGACAAAGGCTACGAGGAATGGGCTGGCGAGATGATCGGTATGCGTGAAGTTCTACGAAAGTTTGCGAACATTTCGCGTTCGGAGATCGTCGGCGCTCGAGCGCCTTTCCTCAAGCCGGGTAGAAACACGCAATTCAAGGTATTGTGACTTTATATTTATTGTATAGTTTAACTTTTATAAGACTAAATACTGTCTGTAGTTTACGCGAGTAGTACTCATTTAAATAAAACACTTTAACGGTTTAAAACGAGATATATATCAGATAAACTTATTTGAAAAATATTTTAACTACGGCCCGACGTTTCGGATGCTTTGCAGCAGTCGTACGCGGGGAGTTTAGCGTACTAATTAAACTACTTCAATATTTTGTGACAAAAAATAAAAGTAAAATATATTGGAAGTAGAAGGGCTTTGATCTTCGTTGTTTAATTACTCGTATATTTATATCAACATCTTTTCAATTCACTATAAAGTAGACATTAAACTTAGGAGTATAATATCGCCCTAAAATTCTTCAAATCTAGCAAACTTAGTTCATGAATTATCTAAGTCTTCAATGAAGAATCTTCATTAAATCACCTTTACGAAACTTCGAGAATGTTATCGTTCCCAACTTTACTGTAACAATCTCGATATTAGCTTCATACGAGGTTTGTGTTATGCAAAATATTCTACGCTCCAACATTTCACGGTATGAAATGCAATAGTAAAAAGTAATAAAATATTTTACAGGATCGCGATCGTAAATAAAACGGAAATGATATTTGTGTAATTTATCTGCGGTCATTTGTGATTTTTACTTACAAATAGTTTCTATAAACAGTTAACTTTGTTTTTTTATTCAAGACGATGACAGACAAGCCCCCCCCCCCTAAAATCTAAACAACATGTCGGCCTGTTTTATTTTGGGATATTCAGAAACTTCTATTATTTAGTAAATTATTCGTAGAACTTTCTGCGTTCTAGATGGAAATTAAGAATACATTTTCTTTAAGTTAGCAACTTAAAATGCTCTACAAGGCGGAATACTGGAAAGCCATTAAAACATTAAGTCCCTCTTAACTTACCTACCCGTAACACGAGGTACTTAAAACTCAAAATAAAATAATCAAGGAATCCTTTTAACTGTCGTCATCATCTTCCGCCTTGTAGAGTTTCTAGTTTCTACAGTTGGAAGACGAGCCTTCCTAGAGAGTATATGTCTCTTCTAGAGACAGAGTAGCCCAACTGCAATTTTGTGACTAGAGTTGTTTTATTGGATATCATGTTTTTTTTGTCGTTAGGCCACTCTGCGTCTAGCAGCCTCTTTCTGTTGGTAGAAGATACATGTCGGTTTTTAGGTCTAGCACACGCCTCTTTGTTTTCATCCTATTATTTAGTTCACCACCTTGATCATCCTTGACCATCACAATTTACAGAAGAGAAAACATCAAGAACGTGGGTCCCTCATCCCACCAGGATATCACGACTCTTACTGAGAATAATATTTTTTGTAATATAAGAGGGAATATGGGGCCTACTTGATGGTAGTCGAAATATCCCAGGCCTGTGTTGTATGGAAACATTTCTAACTTAAATTTTTTATAGGTGTTAGAAGATTTCGGTTACATCTACGACAGTTCTGTGGGGGTACCACCTCTGCCGATACCAGTCTGGCCCTACACCCTTGACTATAAGATCGCCCATGAATGTAAATCCGGCACCTGCCCTACAAAATCTTTCCCTGGTAAGTAAATTACGACCAATTTCCGTCTTCGCAATATCATAACATAAATCTAATTTAGATAACTTAGGTAATTTATGTCTAAGGACTCATTGGCATTTTTAAGCCACGTTTTTAAACGAATCGTGTGTAAAAGTGTGATTATTGTATGTATATTCTGTTGCTATTAAATTAGAAGAGTTAGCAAGTGACGTAAGCCATAAAGGTATAAATTAAAAACCTGCTTGGATTGAAAATTACGGCATTTAATGATTTTCTTAGTCTGTAAAGCATAAGTTGAAGTTACAACGCTAGTGTTAAGGTTGAAATTACACTGCGAAGGACCTACACCAAGAACGTACATTTATCAATAGGTTGAAAATTTTCGATGACGACGTGTAAGACGCGATAGCTCAATTGGTTAAGTCAATAATACTGTGAATGCCGGTTTAAGTCTTGCTCGTGTCGTAAATCTTTTCAAATTGTAATCGATTTTCAATTAATATTAAAGTTTTCGAATCCTTAAAACATATACTTAACAAGATATTGACAAAGACTTTGCAACTGTATCCATGATTTGTAAAACCAACTCTATTGATTACAATAAAATTTTCTCATTAGCGAAAGTGTCTATTTAAAAGAAATCAGAAATCACGAATTCCAAAAAAAGAGCTTTTAACAAAACAGATAACGCTCAGGGAGATTGAACTCTCTACATCGACGATTACATGTTGCGAACTTTCGGCGGCTTTTTTAATTCACCTTTCGACTTCGGGTCAATCCAGGTCTCTGGGAGGTGCCGTTTAACGCCCATTACGTGGAGACGTACGAGGGCGGCCATTGTCCTTACTTGGATCAATGTGTTCTACACAATCACGATTCGGACGATGTAAGTTTCCAATATTTTTAATACCATGTCTTTTAACAAACGGGTTGACATGGCCAGGTGAAATAGTTATTTAACACATAAACAAGGTGCACTGTCGATCTTTATTTCGTGTTGGTTTTGGATATTCGGAAATCTACAGACTAAAACTTAAATGCGATTTAACTTTACAGCATTATTTTTTACTGAGTGTCAAGGAAAGAGATCAAGTTGCTTTGGTTGAAAATTTTAATCCCGTGTAATCCACTGTTTATATCCAAAATAGATTGTTTATTGGTGTACAACTATCAAGTACAATATCACTAGAGAAGTAATTCTTCGATTACTAATTTTATTCAATGTTAGCTGAAGCCCCGTTTCCTTGTTGCGTGGGGTATAGGGTAGACAAATTTCCGTGTCAGTTGCACAGATTAACTTTTATTTACAGGTTAAGATTGTTGTATTGTGTCTAATGTACTTTACATTATCGATAACGAATATTTAAATACTGTCTGTAGTTTACGCGAGTAATACACATTAAATAAAACACGTTAACGGTTTAAAACGCGCCGTGGTCACGGGGAGACTGCTGCTGCAAAGCATCCGAAACGTCGGACCGTAGGTAAAAATAATTCTCAAACAAGTTTAACCAAAATATATCGCGCTTTAAACCGTTAAATTTGTTTTTTAAACGAATATTTATTAAGATAATGATTATTAACATTTATCAATATCGTCGGAGTTGGAACCCAGGGCTTCTCAACCAAACGACGTATAGCAACGTAAAAGCATATAAATATTAAGATGTAGAGTTAAGCGATGAGTCTACGTCTTAATAAATCTTCATAAAAGTAATAAGTTGAAACTAATGCTACAGAAGCCAGACATAAACAAACAGACTGCATTTTTATCATAACAGAGATACGTTTCTTATTCAAATTAGGTATTGGAGTGGCTCCAAGAAGACTTCAACCGCTACTACGAGCAAAACCGCGCACCGTACATGATGCCCTTCCACACAAATTGGTTCCAGATCAAGGAATTAGAGCGGGGCTTACACAAGTTTCTGCATTGGGCTAGTAACCAGTAAGTACTGCTTTCTTAATGAAAGACTGGGAGCCCCATAATGTATAAACAAGATTCAGTCGAACGATTTTGAATTTTGATATTCGGTAATCCACAGACTGAAATCGAACAGTGATTAAACTTTGATCTCTTCGTCTGTGGATATTGGTTCCTGGACCGATACGGAACTTCGACATTCCTACCACCTTTTAACATCCTGATTTCCAGACGAAGTCCAACCCTGATGATTACTAGCCTTACATTGCTATCATTACACCTACTAGCCCGTCAAATCTGCTGGAATACATAAGCCACTATGTGTGGTAATGTTTTAGTTAAAAACTATTCTAAAACTATATTATTATCCTAAAATTATATGTATACATATATAATTTTAGGGTGTTCATGTAGCTTGATAACATGATACAATATGTCGGCTACAAACTGACGAAAATGACCAAGAGTCTACCAATCCTAAGTTTTTTTTATTATTTACAATCTTATGTGTATTTTGATGTATTCAAATTTTATTGTCAAAAGTGTTTTCACTTGTTGTATGTTCATTGAGAACAGTTACAGTTAAGGTATGTTGCCAATTTTTCTTAAAAGGAAGTATCAGAAAAACCACTTTTTCCTTATTTTCTTTAAATATGACAAGCTTACGAATAAAATTGTGTTTTTGAAATGTGTAGAAGTGAAATCCCGTTTCCCCCTCGTGGGGCATGGGGCGAACACATTTTTGTGCCCGTTTCACTGATCCGTTCTTTAACAGGCAAGTAGATCAGATTTTTGTGCCCTGCCCGACCGAAACATTTTTTGTTTCCCTGGGATTCGAACACAGGACCTCTTGCGCTAAACGCAATGCTACGCATTACGTTTAACCATTTGGCTATAGAGGCGGTTTTAACATGTTAGTTAGTTAGTTAGTTAAAACTAAGATATTTTTAATTTAAAAAGCATTCAATTTAACTAAAATCCTCGGTTGTTTCAAATACTTATTGACCAGATAAAGGTTTACAAAAGATAATGAAAACTCAGCAATTTCCATAACAATTGGAACAATAAAGAAATACATTGCCTTTTCAATGATTACTTTCGTCAGAGTACAGAAAGTAATCCCCTCCACAATTCTGTGGAATAAGGGATAAGTCTAGTAATAGAAATTGGCAAATTGAATCCTCAGCGCGGCTATGAAAATAACTTTATTATAATACCGCCTTCAACGTTTTTGTTAAAGCTCAATGATTTTTTTTATAATAGACAATGTGCAATCAAGCATAAAAGTAACTTGATTCGAGGTGAAATACCGCCTTCCTTTTATGCCTTTGTAACATCTAAGGTAGATGCGCTGTCGTCCTATTTCTTTGCTTTGACAATGAAATCAACTGAAAGAATTGGACCGCGATTATATTTTACGTATACTATATGTATTTTCACTCGAATAATACCTAGATTTTCCTAAAGTGTTTCAGAAAAATAATAATTTTATTCTAGAAACATCTTGTGCCTAGAGAAAGTTTGTAAATGATTAACTATAGTGCTACCATGACCATAATACACTCGTGACTCCATACCAGTGACTGGGCATTAAACATTGTTTTCGTTTTTCTAGCGTAAAGGGTTTTTGGAGTTATTTTAGGAAAGTCACTTTACATAATCTCTTATATTGCTTATGACCCATTTGGTCCTATATAGGATGGATTCTGTCAGTCGACATACATAAAATATAGGAAGAAAGTAGTCTGGGTAATTTCAATTCATGTCTGTTAGTTATTTAAAAAAAAAATTTACACCGGTTTAATTTTTTGGCAGGGGAACGAAAGTTCTGAAACTAAAATAACATTGTAGATGTCTACATAAAATGAAAACACGCATCTTGTTTAGATGTTATATGGCTCGGGTATTTCTCTAAAAACAAATAAATAAAAAATCGAATATGATTTGAAAAATGTGCGGCCCGTGGCTTATTTTTTTTAAATCTAAAGCGATTTTTTATATATCTATCACCGTTATGTGAAAAATATTAAAGTTTTCAAACACGTTGAAAAAGTTGAATGATTATTTGTAGGACACGGTAGCTCAATTGGTTATAGCAGCAGTACGCAACGCTTTGGATGTCAGTTCATATCCCGCCCGTATCGTATTTTTTTTCAATCTTAATTTATTTAATGCTGTCATGTCAAATGTCATTAATCTAAAAGTTAATAATAAGTTCTCAAAAAATAATAATGTTTCAATAAATACTGATTTTAAAAATAATTTTCGGTAAATGATAAAATATTCTATGGGAGAAGCAATAAATTTAATAACTTCACATCTCATTGTTTTACTCGTGAAACAGGCGACGCTACCAAATTGATTTTACTTAATTACTCGCTGTAATAACGTGATTAATCTGTAGGAGCGATGACATATCCTTTATTTGATTTTGATTTAATCAGTTTAATATTCTCATCCTTTAATATGTACCGAAATTCCGCTTTCCAATGTGAAGCATTGTATCTCATATCGATTTTTTCCACTTAGTTCCTCTATCTGCTGTGCTCTGTTTGACCGAAACACGCTTAACATTTAATTTTCGACGGCGGTCCTTCCCTGTGTATGAGGAAACAGTGTGTGTGTTTCCATAGCGATACCGTATGCGTAAGACTGGTCAAAAGCGTAACGCGTTATGTAACGAAGCGGTTTATCAATAAACATGTAACGTAATAAAAAATGTATTATTGGTTTATTCCTTATTCGTTTATACGTAGTTGCACGACTACCTAGTACACGTAAAATGAAACAAGTTTAAACTAAAGCACAAGAAATTGAATCTAAATACGCAAGTGTTAAGGTTGAAATTACATTACATGACACGGTAGCTCAATTGGCTAGAGTAATAGAGCGCTGTGGATGCCGATTCAAGTCCTTCTCGTGTCGTAAACTTCGTTTAATCTATTTTTAAACAAGTTAAAACGCGATTTATATATTTATGAATCTAGCGAATTTCCAGCAACATTTACCCGTTATATTTTTTTCTATTCCAGACAAGACGTGTGGTTCGTGACAGTCACTCAAGCCCTGACCTGGATGACTGAGCCTCGGTCTGTGAAGTCCCTCAACAACTACGAAGCTTGGAGGTGTGACAAAAAGGACCTTCCACTAGCGCCGTGCAATATATCCAACAAGTGCGCGCTGTCATTCAAACACCCCGATACAAACTTTACTGACACCCGATACATGGAGACGTGCACTGAATGTCCTAATCAGTAAGTTTTGGCTGTCATAATATAATCTCTGTAACTGTAGATCGGTAACTTTATCCAATCAGCCCAACGACTGGGCTATACATTGAATTTTACAACAATAATGCCACGCCTACAAAAACTTGAATGTGTGTTTAAAATAGGATAAAGAAAATTGTTGTAGAAGAAAGAAAGAAAGTTGTTAATCGTTTCAAATTTTTCTGTAGCCGAAACTATTATATCAGAAACTGAATATCAAAGCAGAACTGAGGTCTCCTTTGTTAAAAGAAGGTTCAGAGCTTGGCCTACCACGACAATATCAGTGGTGATAAGGTTCTGGACTAAAACGATTATCGCGACATAATAAGTATTAATACCTGGGACCGACAGCTCAACTTGACACGGTGGATATTACCTTTTACTCCTACACGCTGTATTTATCGTGGGACCAGTTGTTTTGCACCAAGGCCTCGGAGGTTAGGGTTTTTGAAAAAGAGTTAAGTAGTAAGAAAAAGAAAAATCGATTTTGTAGCGGTCTCGACTCCGACTTTAGACCAGCTAGCTACGTTACTGCTTCCTCACTGCGGGTTGGTATATAACTAATGTTTCTTTCGGCGCGAGATTCAAATCCTGGACCTTGTGATCTGCTGCTGATTGTACTAGTAGAGCAAAGAGGCAGTTATCGAAATTTAAGCTTTGAAAAATCTTATATTTTATATTAGAGCGAATTAATTCTATTGCGTCGCAAATTACAAGTGAGTGTATTTTTTATTTCCGTACTTCATGAACTTAGTCAACTACATGTAACGGAACAAACATCGAAATGAATTACTCAACTTTACTGTCAGTTCGTTTGAGCTTTTTTATACTGTTTTACATCGAGCCTGCGGGCATCGCGTGTGAGGGATAATTCTGTAAAAGAACTGGGAAGTGGGAAACTGTATTTTTGCAATTTTTTAAACTGGTTAAAAATTTGAATCCTTTGTTGCTCTGCAGCGAGCGAGATCACAAAGGGCGTGCTGGTTGAGTTACGATTCTTTAATTGCATTTGAAGTTCACTGAGCCTAAGTTTTTTCTATGATAGACGGATAGGTTTCAGATGGTGAAACCATATTTAATTATGTAAGGTGTTGTGTCCTACTTCCACTTTGAAGATTCAGATTTTTTTTATAAAGGAGGACAACATATAACATCTAAAGAAGATACGCCGTTGACTTATGGCTTTGGACATTCGGAAATTCACAGACGGAGACCGAAACATCGTCCACAGATGAAAAGTTCACGGCTTATTCATCTGTGGACGATGATTCGTGATCCGAACGGAATGTTATATATTATATCTAGATTTCCATACGAAGTTCAACATGTTTCAGAAAAATTAGAAATTGGTTATCCAACATTTTTGGACCCGCTGGGGATCCAACCCACGACCCGTTGATTATAAGCTATACATTGCTACATTTACACCAATAGGTTTGTCAAAGTGGTGGTTCGTGACCCAGATACTCGTAATTTGAATATTCGCACTCACCGTTTAATATTCAGATTTTAAAACTAGATCTAGGATGTCTAAAAGAAAACATACAAACATACTTTTAAAAAGTATGTTTTCTTTTAGACCTAATTCTTGTATAGAATAGAAATATGTTTATTTAGAAAATAACATAAATTCAAAGAATTGTCATGTTAATACAGAATCTATAATTATTTCACTCTCAGAAAATAGGTTATGGATTTAAAAAAGCCCTCTTTATACAAAGTGTGAACATCAATTTCCAGTCCATTTATCTTTGGAGTACTTTCAGATACCCTTGGCTGGGCGACTCGGGTGGAACAGGCATACCCGGGAAAGACAATTACATACCCGATAACCTTAAGTGAAAGTTATATAACTTATTGTGACTTTGGATAACAGATGACTGCCTGATCTTTTCTTTTAGTTCTCTAACAAATTGTTACCTTAAAGACAATTGCAAATATTACTCTAGTATTATTTCAACAAGACTTACATACTTAGTTCAATTGGAAAACACTCCTTCTATATTTGAAAGAACGTAGTCTACGCGAGTTCACATTTAAATAAAACACTTACAACGGTTTAAAACGTGAAATATATACTTAGTTTTGAATTACTTGCAGCTGCAGTAGTCATGACTCATATATTTCGCGTTTAAAACCGTTTAAAGTATTTTTGAAGTTGTAACTTTGGAAACCGTTCAAATATCCTCTTGTTTGACTTGCCTTCCATTATCCAAGTGATTGAAAGCGAACATCAGTCATCTGCTGTCGTACTTTATATTCATTTTGTTTACATAATAATTAAATTGGATTAATTACTATGTTACAATATTGAATATGTTTTATAATATACTTTGTTGTGTAGCAGTGACTAGTCATTGCACTTTTATATGGTAGATTATTTTGACTTTGTATAAGCCACGAAATTCACTATTTAACAATTTGTTTTAAAGAATTTTGCCAACAATGTTTTTTACTTTTGAAATTTTTATATCATTGTTGGGCTGTTCGGCTGTTCGATGTAGGTAATATGCTGAACGATGGCCGTGAAAGCCTTACACAATTTATTTGATATTTTCGTTTTTAACTGAACGTATACATAAATAGTGAATACAGGGAATTATAGTACAGGGACTACAGATAATATTGTTTACATTTTAAATATTTGTATTTTGTTAAATTTTCCACGTGGTGCTTGTTAAGTTAAATTATTACTGGTGCTATAATATTTTGTTTAATTCAATCAAATCCTATATAAATACACAATCATAAAAAAACGTAGTCCTAAAAATAAAGTGTTGAAAACTACTCTTGTTTTATTTATTTAAGAACAGATTTCATGCAGAGAAAATGTTTTCCACATCAAATTTAACACAGATTAATCTTTCCCGAAGTCGTTTTAAAATTAATCAAGTTACATTAACGCGCTACAAGGAAATTTAATTTGTAGCGAAGCTTTGAGCGCGCATTGTACGGCGCGCATTATAAAATAAACAATGCAAAAAGTTCACGTTTGATATCAAATGTCGGAGATTTAATTTGAGATTGCGTTGGGAACGGGCGTGCGGAAACTTTCACTGGAATATTCGCGACCATTAAAGCTTGTAAGCTGCTAGTAGTTTTTATCTTACACAAGGAATTGCTAGCACGTCGTTCTGTTACTTTATGTAATGTATCCGCATTTAGCCTCGCCGTATACGCAAAGAATATATTTTTCCCTGTGTATATTTTTATAACAGATAAGTAGAATGTTACGAGGTGGAATTTGATTTTACTTGAATGCAAAATCAGTCTAAATTTGATGCTTTTTACACATTAGTAGATGGGGGTAGTCACATATTATATTTTACGTACTACCGTCACAGGCCAATGTCGCAGAACACAGACATCTATCTCGCATTTTAATAAGTGTTGGATATTGACAATATAATCGTTCACACCGATATCTCTAGATTTTCAAAATGTATCTAAAACGTCTATAGGCTTATATCTGCTTCTTGTCAGTCTCCTAACGTTACCCACTTATTATTTAACGTCAAATCTGTCTTCTGCGCCCTGCTTGACACAAACAATTTATTGTTGCTCCAGGATTCGAACGTAGGTCCTATCGTTAAATACTAATAACTCTAGGTAACACGTTCATTTAGATGCAGAGGCGGTCATACAATTTATTTAAAAGTATGACCAGCTACTTGCCTGTAAATAAAATCTAAATAGTGAAACGGACACACAAATGTGTTCGCCCCATGCCCAACGAGGGAAAATTAGATTTCTTCGTAAGATTTACACATAAATGAAACCACTTGTCTCCTGAAAACACTTTTAACGGGTTTAATTACGTTCTATATGGCTAAAAGTGTTTCATTTAGTGTCTAATACTCGTAATAGACAGATCAATTTGTCATTGCGCATTTCAAAGTCACATTAAAAATCTTAATTCAATTGTTAAGATGTCTATATCGAACCACAAAATTACCGCATATCCTCCTGTTGTGTACATCAAACGGATTACTTAAGCGATTTATTCGTATAGCCGGTGCACTTAGGTGAAAGCTCTAACCACAGAGCGTTCTCGCTATAGTACTAAAAGCCTTGTGATAGAGCTTATTAAACTATTAAGCTTATGAATTATGATGGATAGTTAAAATTATGTAGTTAGTCAATATATTAATTTTACATTACTAAGCATTAGGCTCGTGTGGGTTTAAATCAAAATGACGCGATTTTTTTCGGTCCGACAGGGCACAGAAGTCTAATGAACTACTTGGCTATAAATAAAATCACACACGGTATATGTGTTGGGATATATGTTTATCCTTCAAGGAAAAATGGTGGAGGATTTGATGTTTTAAATACTATGTGTAGTTTACGCGAGTAGTATACATTTAAATAAACACTTACACGTAAAACGAATAAATAAACAAGCAAAGCTTTATAATATTAGTATAGATTAGTCTCAGTTTGTTCTATTTTCGGTGGCCTACCTCCACGAACGCGAAAATCTCTAATGACATTTCAAACTTGGAAGTGTCAAATGCGGTAGATCTGTCTATTCACAAGTGTCTACAAGTCATAATTTTCGAATATCGAATTAACTTAGACCGAGAGCATATAGTCGATTATAGAATTGAGGCATTGCGACTTATGTTATAGTCGATCTTCTATCAAGTGCCTCCAACGCTTATCTGTTCTTTTCAGTCGTACAACTCCCTAATTTAGCAAAATTATAACTAAAGACGGATGTCCGCACGACCCTTAGAATTAAGGTCATCGTTGCCAGCGACCCGAATGGCGTGCGTCCACAAAAGATTATTACATTCCGCCTCAAGTAAACACTCACAATAAACGTCCCTAAATAAATATCAACACAGGTACGTGGTTTCGGTATGTCCTTAATAAGGTCCAGAGATATTTCCACAGCGGCGCATATAACGGCGCCCTCGAGCCTGCAGAGCTTCATAAAATATAATAAGACTATTACGCGCGTGATGAAAACGGGCCGACGCTGTGAACATACCTTTATGAATATGGGCTTAGACTGCGGTTTGCTATAAATGCAGGTTACTTACAGTGATGTCACCCCGGTACCAGTGAAAAGTACTGTTGTCTCTTTCACACGAATGATCAAGAAATGGGCGGGTTACACCAATCGCGTATCTAGTTATTTCGAATTTCGATTTTGACATTTCAATATGTAGATGTTAACTCTAGATTTGTGTCTAAATAAAACACTTTACCGGTTTTTATCCCGATATATATTACTTAAACTTATTTGGACATTATTTTAACTACGGTCCGACGTTTCAGATGCTCTGCAGCAGCCGTGGTAACAGGAGACTCCGATAAGTTAAAATAATTTCCAAATAAGTTTAATCGCGTTTCTTTTCCGTTGAATTGTTTTATTTAAATACGTACTACTAGCGTAAACAGGCAGTATTTAATCTACATGTGTGATTCGATTGGAAAAAAATCCATGTCATAGGCAAAATTCTAAATCACCATTCACAACATCATCATCAACTGAGCTACAGTTGTTTAGCTCGTTCTCATCGAATTTATTCATCTCATTCATACACCTCCCGCGCAATCATCGTGGGTTTTAACCCTTGATTGAAAAACTATGAGTCCAACTGGAGTCATAGTTTTTCAATAAAGAAAACTACTGTTGCGAACATAGTCCTCAGCCCATGAGATTTTATTGGCCAGAGATCTAAAAGGTTTACTATAACTTTACGAGTATTAATGTGTAACGCTATATGTATGTTTATAGCATTCAAAGGAGACCACAGCCTTAATAATATAAAGTTTGTACGCTAATCTTATTAAAAATATTTTAGTTGTTTAGGCTACGTGTTTGCGGGCGCCTTTATCTTTCAATTTCAGAATTATTGTTCCTAATTACGTTTTGTTGGAGTTTGCATGCAACTCTTGCTACTTATTTCGGAGCGTCTGTTCACTTTGGTATTTCAAAGAGAATATTCGCTAGACTTAACATACATATAATAAACGAAGTTCTGAAACGTCATCTTTTATGTACAGTCAGCCACAACCTAGAGAATTGAAGTTTTTTTCCAACGTATCTGAGAAGACTTTTTTGAAGACCAAAATTTTACGGTTATGATATGAAAAAGAGTGACAAAGTTTGTATGGGACAACATGATTTCTTATTTAGTTTGGAATTTGACTTCGCATTACCATAGGACGACGGAAAATGTACTTTATTTTGTTTTTATGAATATATCACATACCAACGCTCACAAATGGCAAGTTTAAATTTCACACATTTATGTATTTTATATATTAAGTAATATGTAATTTGTACACTAAGAGGCGCCTCTATACAAAACACGTTTACTTATTTTATAGTTACTTATTTTTAATCTTTCCGTGTAGGGTCAGCCCTGCGTGACCCTACACGGCGTTTGGGAGCGTCCCCCGGGTGGCGGATGGGGGAACGGTCGGTAGCACAGCCGAGCTACGCTAACCGGCTAAGTCCGAGGGACTCGTTGACCAACGTAGGGTGTGGCCCTCCAGCAATATGGGGTTGTGGGAGGGTTGACAGCCCGCCCACGGAAAAACTCATTGTTACGAATACAAACAAGAGAACTATACGATCCGATCCCAAACACAAACGACACTGGCATGGAACAACGGACACCCGATTGGCAACATGGAATGTACGGAGTCTTTATAGACCAGGAGCTATCTATCAGGTCCTACGGGAACTAGAAACCTACAGAATAGGGATAGCAGCTTTACAAGAGGTCAGATGGCCCGGCCAGGGCGATTGCAACATTGACAATAAAGCAACCCTATTCTATAGCGGTGCAGACTCAGATACCAGTTACGGTACTGGCTTTTTA